ATGGTGTTGAGTGGGAGATTGAATGAATGGTGTTGATTGGGCTATTGGATGAAAAATGTTGACTGGGGGGATTTGGTGAATGGTGTTGATTAGAGGACTGGATGAATGATATTTGTTGGGCGATTGGGTGAATGGTGTTGATTATGGGATTGGGTGAATGATGTTGGATAAGGGATTGGGTGAATGGTGTTAGATAGGGGATTGGATGAATATTGTTTATTGTTAGTTTGGGTGAATGGTGTTGATTGATGCTGTATTCTAGCAGCATCATACTAGTCAGTAAACCATCAAATCTTGGACAACCCAGTGACTGATATCATGAACATTCCACACATCAGACACTAAGGCCATACAATTAGTCAGGCATTGCAACCAGCCAGTCTTCCCTTTAGCAGACTCTCCGACATGACTTAATGGGGACTGCACACAGGGAGACGATCAGGAGGTACGGGGGACCTGTTCCGACTCCCCTGTTCAGGGAGACAAGCATGTAGTGTTATTGACCTAATGGCATTAACATGTACACTGAGTCTGGTACAACATTCTCCACACATTCTGATCTGTTAATATTGCATAAAGAAAGATAAGTCAACAAGTGATATTAATATTACATGAGAGGGATCATTGTGTGCTGAGCTGATGTGTGTATTGTAGTGGCGTGTCAACGTCCAGCCGTCATTAACTCTTTAGTTAGCACACATTACACTGAAGTAGGTAGCGTGTGTGAAGTGATTGTCACCTGTAGTGGACAGAGTCGGCCATTAAGTCGTCAGTGACACGCTGTTACCTGGATAAGTTGGTGGGCTCTGGACCAGTATGTCTGTAGCGGGGTTCAAGTTTGGAGATGTGCCCGGGTAACATGTTGTAGTATTGTGTGAAGAATTTAGTTTTTGTTTTGTTCTTGACCACAGGTCATGTTTATTTTACAAAAATAAAAATAATACTTTCCTATTTTGACAGAGACAACTTTGTATGTTGACAAAAACATGACTTGTTGCTTATGAGATCATTTCTTGAAATATAGCATTCGTGATCCTTGTCAAATAGGGGTGGTGGGGTAGCCTAGTGGTTAAAGCGTTCACTCATCACGCCGTTGACCTGGGCACAATGTGTGAAGCCCATTTCTGGTGTCCCCACTGTGATTTGCTAGAATATTGCTAAAAGTGACGTAAAACTAAAACTCACTCACTCTCTCACTTGTCAAATATTTCTTACATTATGATCAAAATGAAAATGGTGCTATTTACAGGTTATTTGTTTGTGCCCAAAACACTTAGGAATCAGATTTTCTTTAACCTCAAAGTGTCGCCACAATCCTATCATGAATCACTATTGTGTTTTCGTATTGAAGACAAGGTTGAGTAATTGATTTAAAATGATTCAGTAGAGCTCCTTGTAAACTCAGTCCTCACTGCAACTACAGCACCTTGCATGATCATTTTGCTTGTAGTGATTATGAATTACAGGATTAATTAGGAATAATACAAAATGTGTTTGAAGTTGTTAAACACAATGGTCACAGTGTTATGTAATGTTGATTGTTGGATGACTGCCCCCGCAAGTGAGTTAAGACCTCTGTTGTGAGGGTATGGAAACAGGCCAGTGTTCAGGCGGTAATCTGATTATGAACCATATGGCCACTGGCTACACAGACAGACATTACGAACTAGTTATAGTATTAAACCCTGATCACATATGGGGGATCACAGATCTGGCCACGGTGTGGCAGGCTGCGTGACCACACAGACATGGAAGGAGGGGCTGAGATGGTACTGACCCATGTACTGCTGTAGGAGGTCAGGTGGGACTGAGCTGGAGATGTCACACTGGTCATTGTGGGAGGAGGATACCTGTAAGTCTGCCAGAGAACAACACTGCTCTGGGGTGCTTGTAGTTGCTGGAGAGACATGAGTGAGAGGACATGTTTGAAAGTTAATGTGTGTGAGTGTGAGGTAGAGGAGAATTGTCATAACATACAGACAGAGACATAAGTACATCGGCTTCCATGAAAGATGAATGGTACTTGTGTTTTGCTGTGTGGTGTGGGGTGGAAAGTGATGCTTTATTGTCCACACGGTTTAAAACTAAAAAACGTATCATATTTATTTGTATGATGATTTTAAAAAATATTTTTTATATGTCTGTTTCTGACATTCTCTGAATGAGACGTTTCAGAAAGTTGTGAGTTGTCATGCCATCTGTTAGTTGTCTCCATATTCAGGAGGGGTAATCGTGTGATAGCGTGTCAGCGTCTGAGTGACAATGGTGACAAATAAGAATAATTCACCTCATGATGTTACAGAAAACACTCCAAATGATCCCATAAATCAGGAACTGTCTGAGGCCTACCGTAAGCAATCACAACCCAAATAAAAAGAAATGTTGGCCACCCAAGAAATATGATTTGAGGCTCGAATGTGACTAGGTGCAAAAGTGTTTATTCTGCAAAGTTTGTTGAAAGTTTGCTCATGCAATCAGCAGGGGTGGTAAACCAGATCATTTTGTTACTGTCAAGGGGTATCCCAACTGGTAAACTTGACTATGTGTCAGGTGCCCTATGGCACCCTTACAAAAATCAGCGTTTCTCTCTCAACCCTAAATAGATCCATGTCAAGAAGTTAATCATATTCATAGACCACTGATAGCCACCATTGTGTTGAAGAATGGACAATTTGGTTTGTAATCCTAGGACAATGAATAATATATACTGCTGCCATTAGATGTAATCTGTCACCGACTTCACTCACACACAAAGGGGCTGACTGAGCTGGGATGACTTCAGGATTTTATGGGCATCAAGAAGTTGATATGTACTGTAGGATATACAGAGAGCTAGCTGGGGTAATCTGTGGTCATATCTCTCTCACAATAAGGTGATTCCCATCCATAGTGTTCTTATGTCAGGAGGCTCTATGTCAGGGCAGGTGTCACAACCTGTCTGTTCCAATGCCACCATGTTGCCCTAATGTGGGCCATTATAGCAATATGCAGGTGCTTGTGATGGTTTTACCTGAATATGGTGGTTAACTCATCAGTGTGACTCTAGTCACTGCAGGTCTGCCATTTACAACCTGTCTGAGGGCAACTCCACCAAGTTGTGTGATGACACCATTTGTGGGAACAGAACCTGATAGTAGGGTAGAGCCTTCAGTCAATTCATATGACAAGTCTGCCGCTTTAGTATAAGGTTTCAACAGCCCTGAGTTTAAAATGATTTGAATATCTATTTGTTTGCCATGATTGCTCTCTCTTGGATGTATTTGAAAAAGAAAATGAATGACAACAAAGTTCTAACAAATAGCAACTGTTAACTAATGAGATATATATTTTAGAAAATGCTTTCTCAGTCTTCAAAATTAAGTCTGAAGGTAAATGAGTCCTTGTCATAACCCATACAGTTGTGAATTTAGTATGTCCCTTCAGACATAATTTAGTCACACCCAAATAGAAGCATCAACATGTAGTGTGTGTATGCGTGTGTGCGTATGAGCGAGCGTGCTGTGAGTGAATGAGTGAGTGATGAGACTTGGCAGTTGGTTAAGTCAGCTGATGTTTGACTGCTCCATGTAATCCCCATCATGGCCCCTCCCCATTAGCTTCTTTGTCTGCAGGATGGGTGGGGTTTAAAGCAGGATTTTTGCAGGATGGGTGGGGTTTAAGGCAGGATGTTTGCAGGATGGGTGGGGTTTAAGGCAGGAAGGGCAGGGTTTAAGGCAATATGGGTGGGGTTTAAGGCAGGATGTTTGCAGGAAGGGCAGGGTTTAAGGCAGGATGGGTGGGGTTTAAGGCAGGATGTTTGCAGGAAGGGCAGGGTTTAAGGCAGGATGGGTGGAATTTAAGGCAGAATGTTTGTAGGATGGGTGGGGTTTAAAGCAGGATGTTTGCAGGAAGGGTGGGGTTTAAGGCAGGAAGGGTGGGGTTTAAGGCAGGATGGGTGGGGTTTAAGGCAGAATGTTTGTAGGATGGGTGGGGTTTAAGGCAGGATGTTTGCAGGAAGGGTGGGGTTTAAGGCAGGATGGGTGGGGTTTAAGGCAGGATGTTTGCAGGAAGGGCAGGGTTTAAGGCAGGATGGGTGGAGTTTAAGGCAGAATGTTTTGGAGGAAGGGTTTAAAGCAGGATGTTTGCAGGGCAGGATGTTTGCAGGATGGGTGGGGTTTAAAGCAGGATGTTTGCAGGGTGGGTGGGGTTTAAGGCAGGATGGATGGGTTTTTTAAGCAGGATGTTTGAGGGTGAATGGGTCTTAAAACTGATTTCACACTCTCTGATCTCAGTCATGTGAATCATCTGTATTTTCAGTTTCGTGTAATCCGTTCGTATGCGTACACCAAAGTGGGCAATATCAAAGACCACTTCAGGCTTTCTTCCCATGTCTGTCTGACATACTGAAGTTCTGTTTAAATTAAACCAACCCACTCACCCCCTCACCGGATATGGTTTGCCTTACATTGATGTGTTCCAATTTTGAGGACAATATGTACCACCATCCTCTTTTGAGATGTACCTTTTGGGAAAAACATCATCTGATATCATTCGGAAAAAAAACCACAAAAATATTAAAATTCTGAACTACAAGTATGTTAGTAGGTTTTGAGACCTAGTCAAGGTTGATGTGACTTTATCCTCTGAAGAACCAGCAGCATGAGGATGACCTTCCTTCATTGGTTGTGTGAGGCGGTGGGGTAGCCTAGTGGTTAAAACGTTCACTCATCACGGGTTCAATTTCCCACATGGGTACAATTTGTGAAGCCCATTTCTGATGTCCCCCGCCGTGATATTGCTGGAATATTGCTAAAATCGGCATAAAACCATACTCAGTCAGTCAGTCATTGGTTGTGTAACCCAGTGCTTTAAGTCCCTCATTATGTTAAGGCAGCTTGATTTGTGGACTCCCCACCAAACTAAGAAGGAAATGCTAGAGCACTGATGTGTGGACTTAGAATAATGTAACACTGTGAGCAGCAGGTGCATCAGTTGTCATCATCATTAGTACTTGGTTACAGTGATGTGCCGCAGCCAGACCGTTCCGAGGCCTTCCTGACAGAACTGGGGGCAGTGCAAGCCTTGAGGCAGCAGTTGCAGGAGGGCGTCGAGAGGAACAACAACCTCCGTGTCATCCTTGAGCACCAGATCACCGGACCAGCACCAGCTCCGCCTCCTGGACACTCCACCTCAGGTAGGTTACCTTGTGGTCATGTACAATGATGCTGTTGCTTCTCTCCCTTGAGTTGGAAACAGTGGTAGTTTAAATGTATTGATTGGCTTCTGTCATTGGACATCTTTGTTCCCCAGTAACTGGGACATTGGTTATAATGTGTATCTTTGGTTTGTCTGGTCGGCACTTGATTAGTCAAAGATGAAAGTGATGTTGCTGAAATATTGCTGACTGTGGCATTCATGAGAAAATAAGAAAACGTATCTGTTCTTGCTGTAGTTGTACTTTTTGTCTTCATGGCTGTATCTCAATAGTTCCCTTTCATTTTAGACAACCACTATTCATCATCAACTACTGAAGAACGGCACCACACCAACAGCACACATCACAGTCCCATCTGGGATGATGGTGGTAGTTCTCTGAGGACAAGGTCACAGTTTGTGGATGCCCAGACGTCACCTGTCCCCAATGGGCCGAGTCCCGGTGAGAGTGGTTACCACGATCTAACAGACGCTCACTCGTCACCATTCCACCGAGTCAGCACGCATGACCAGGCAGTGTCTGCATCTCCAGACATAGACCACCATGAGGTGCAGTGTTCCGCAACAGGAAGGGATCTCCTGCCAGAAGGGCAGACAACTGTGGGTTCTGGCATCACCAAGTGTGTAGGGACTTCCCCCTGGGCAGACCATCGCAGTGTTCAAACGTCACCTCATCGTCCTTACAGCACACAGAATAGATCAACATTGACGTCACCACATGCAACATATCACAGTGTTCAAACTTCTCCGCTAGCCCCCAACAGAACTGTGTCTCCAGAAACCAGGTTATCATCGGGGTCTGAGAACAAACGACCAGTCCACCGATCTCCACCATCTTACAACGATGTTCAAACATCACCCATTGCCACGTTGAACAATTCTGTGTCACCAATAGGAATCTTACCAACGACAGAAGCCTCTAGTATTGACTCAGAATCTTTGTCCAAAATGTCGTCCTCGATGTTACGAAAGTTGGTGCAGCAGCTGCAGGAGGATCTGGTGGCTGCTCTGAAACAGAACAATGACCTCCAGGGGCAGGTGTTTGGAGAGTGTGAGACACGTGAGATACCAGGACGCAATGAGGCAGACCCAACCGTCGCAGACTTCCAGCAGATGCAGCAACAGATAGATGAGCTAAGGTCATCAGTAGACCGAAGGGACAAGGAAAATGATGTACTCCGATCTCATTTAGGTCTGGATCAGGACACCCAGATTGATTCCCGGGATTTGCCCTACTTGCATGACCTTCAAAATGAGCTGCACAAACTGAAGGCACAACTCAAGGAGGTTCTCCATGCTAACGAACTGCTCAAGAAGCAGATTAACATCAGTAGTCAGACAGATGACTACCCTGCAGGGTTCAACCCAAGTCTGATTATTGACATGGCAAGGGAGCTTGAGGCATTGAAATCAGAGCTTGAAAAATCCAGGAAGCTCATTGCAGAGCAGAAGAGAGTGACATTTGATACAAATGGAGTGAAATCTTCCAGAATTCCAAGTTGGAATGATGATGCGTGTCATTCAGAATTAGGTATGATTGACGGTGCATCGAACTCCAGTGGGATGGGATCAGGAGTGTCACACAGCAGCAACCAGTCAGTCAAGAACCATGGTAGAAAGGGCTCTCAGATTCCTCGGCTGAAGAACCACCAGCCAGTGACATCAAACACCACCCATGAGAATCATCCTGTGATCCTCCAGAGGCAGCTGCAGGATGCTGCAGACCACATCAAGCAGCTGGAGAAGACCCTGGCTGCGACGGAGGAAACAGTCAGGTACCAGTCTCAGAAAGTCAAGTACTACAGGGGACTACTGAAGGATGCTGGAATTGTGCCTCTGCAGGACTCTCGGTCACAGAGCGAGACCTGCCTCACCAGACTGTCCGGGAACAAGTCATGGACAGGCTCAGTGGAGAACCTGGCTGCTAGGAATACTCAGGATGGATTGAGTCCAGTGAGGGTTTTAAGTCTGGAGTCTGTGAAGGAATATGGCAACACAGACAATGTGTATGAGTTGAAGCATCAGATCAAGGACATGCAGGAGAAGCTGGAGAAGTCCCTGGGGCTGAGTCACCGATACAACAGTGCATCGGGCAGCAGTGAGAGACTGGCCAGTCCAGCAAGGAGGTCCTTGTCTCCTTCTTTAGGAAAGTTCCGCACTCAGTCGACAGACAATGTCGCTCAAGTGTGTCAGATGTCTGGAAGTCTGGAGAAGCTTCAGAGACAAGTTTGGAGTCTGGAATCTCAGCTCCAGGAAAGCAAGAAGCTCAATTCAGATCTGCAGCTGAGGCTGAAAGAGTTACAGAACTCACAACCAGGCAAGGGTGTTAACAGTCATCCCGTCCGACAACCCAGCCTTGCTGATCGAGGAACGTCACCACTGTCAAACAAGGAAAATTATCCATCTTCTCGAGGAGGCAGTGATATTCCAGCCTTGCAGACAGACTCAGGGGAGGACTACAGGCATGAAATCGCATCTCTCCGTAAGCAGCTACAGGACAGTCAGAATGTCAACACGCTGCTCAAGGACGAGCTGGAGGAGCTGAGTCACTTCCTGTCGGAGCTGATGGTGCATGACCAAAATGGACACAGCTCTGATGTCGGACTGGCTGACATCAACAGCATCAGGTCAAAGCTAAATCAAAGTCTGGATGTCTTGAGAACAACTACCTCAGACAGTGAGTACTTTTTCATAGTGATGCTTTGGAGGTATGCGTGTGGATGAGTCATAGAATGAAGGCTTACATTGTTGTTCAGTGTACAGAAAGTGTTGGACAGAAATCGATATATTAATCATACACAGTTCAAATCTTTCTGAGTGCATTTAATCTCACTGACTTTACTTGGATAACATGTGAACACTTTCCTCGTCATGCCTCCCACCATCAGGTGTTCATCCCTACATGATTATTGTATTTATTTTCTTTAGAATAAAGTTATGATATTGGAGTATTCATAAATATTGGGAGTTGATAAAGTGTGCTTATGAGGGTGTGTTTGTCAGGGAGTTTGATGAAGTGTGCAAAACTGAATATGTTGTCTGGGAGTTGTCAAAATGTCCCTTACAGTAATGAACATAGTTTGATTTCCTCTCCGTCTCAGTTTCAGTACTAGAGCCCCAGTCTGGGCGAGGCAGGGCGGCAGGGGGCGTGGCCACCAGTATGTCCGACTCCTTCCTCCATGGCAAGTACCAGGAAGCTCTCCACAGCAACCAACAGCTGCGACATCAGCTGGCACAGCTTCAGGACATGTGAGTACAGACAGACAGATGGACAATTATCAATGTCTTACCCCCTCTCAGTGAGATGTGGCCTTACCGTGTGATAAGGGACTATGATAGCAGTAGGTACACATCTGCAAGGTCAGTGCGATCAAGTGACACTTGTCTGAAGGCCAATTCTGATATGATCAGCTTATATCTGTTCATGTACTAAGACAGAACATGGTTACAGAAATCCATTAAGAAAAACTGTATTAATCCACCTTTCTCCATATTGCTGCCAATTTGGCACTTACATACAAACTGGATGAAATACAACATGTGATTCAGAGTGTACTGTATCCTTTCACCCTGTTGCATTTCCAGTGCAAGCTGCTTGGAAAACACAGGCTTCTCCAATCACCAGGTGCTTGTTGGCTATGACTGATTGGCAAGCTGACAGTGTTCACTGTGACTAGCATAAGCTGTCTAGATCCACTGTGATTTGCATCTTTTGTAACCTTTTGTAGTCTCCACCTCTTTGTCTACCTCATTGGGAGAGACAGTCCCTCCTCTAATAGTGCTGTCTTCTTCCTTCTTTCATCCACAAATAATCAGTCAGTTTTGTTTGTGTTCACGACAGGTACCAGAAGAACTTGCATTCCAAGACAGCCGAAGTTCGTCAACTTCAGCAAATCTCCGAGAGGTTCCAACAGGAACTAGAAGCAGCTGGGAAACTCCGCGTTGGTGAGGCAGACGGAAGTCCACTGTCTCAGAAACGTGTTTCAGCTGTTCGGAAACTGGGAGGTTCTGACACCCTTGACTCCAGCAGTCCTTGTGACGGTCTTCCACAACCCTCCTTCCCCCCACTGTCTCGGGTCCCTGCTGGGCTCTGTAAGAGTGGCAGCATGGAGTCTGATGATATAGCAGACATACACAAGCAGACGGATGAGAACTATGGGCGGCCATTACGTGACTCTGCTGGTGACTCCTGTGTGGAGCAGCTGAGGCAGAGTACTGGCAGTGATGACAGGCAAGATACACTGGGTCTGGAGCTCGGTGGCGAGGAAGACTTGGAGAGGATGAGGCACAGAACTGGTAGTGATAACAGGAGGGACACTCTTGGCCTGGAGCTCGGAGTGGAGAAGGACGATGTCCTTGAGAGGATGCGACACCGGACAGCCAGTGGAGCAACTAATGAACTGTCTTCTGTCCACTCAGCTGGTGGAGATATGTCAGTGTTTAAATCACCCAAAAGTATCAGTCCAGAGAAATTATCATTCCAGAGAAAGGTGATGGAGAGAGATAGTGTAGACTTCCCCTTGTATTCCAACCAGTCCGGACTGAGGTTCTGTGATATGACGCTCAACCCGTCTCTGGAGGACCGGACAGAGGAGGCACGGGACTTCATGGACAGTTCAGGGACAACCAGTAAGAAGTCCACTACATTCAAGATGTCCGACTGTGATAGTGACTTGGTGAGTTCCAGGGAGCGCAGTCAGACACCACTAAACAATGTGGGACAGCTACAGGCCCGGTTAGGTGCCATGGAAGATCTCAACAAGACTCTCAAAGATGAACTGAGTATCTATGAGACTTTGTGTAAATCTTTTGGCATCCAGAACACCCCACAGAAGTCTCAAGGAGAGGCAACATCTCCTGTAAAGACAAATATAGATTCACTGTCCCTGCGAGAGCATCTGGTCGAGATCCGAGCCATGAGACAGAAGCTGGAGCAGGGTCTGGAGCATAGTGACAGGATGAGGGATGAGCTGCTCAGCCGCCTGGAGAAGGCTGGAGGTGAGTGACCTTATTGAGGGATGGGGTAGGGTAAGGGTATGTATAGTCTGTTCGCCGTGAAAACATACCGATGAATGTCACTTTAAACCCAAAAGTAAAACAAATAAAGTGAAATTAAGACTGCGAATCCTCATGGTTTTACCTTGCCAGTTGAACATGTAGAATCTCAAAAGTTGTTTAACAAACGATCATAGTTTCACATGGCTATTATTGGTTTGTATTACAAGGGGGTATGCACATCAAATGAAACACCGAAAATGACAAGGGTTGTTATAAGTTAACGCTCTTCATATACCGCACGTTTCATTTGTTTCACTGTTCCAACGACTGCGCTTACCCCCTTGTAATACAAACCAGTAATATCGATTTGAATCTATGATCGTTTGTTAAACATCTTTTATCCTAAGTTGAATATAGTTGGTAGGAAGGAGGACAGATGGAATACACTTTGGGAGGTACGGGTGAAAGTGAATGCTTTGGCGGTAGGCAGTTAGAATAGTGGAGTTAGAGGACAGGTACATGAGTACCAGTGGAAGACATTGTGCACATGTTGTCATGCTTCTCATTAGAGTTGACTTAAGAGGATCCTCAGATCGGGTTGTGAGATTTGTTTCTTTCAAACACTGGTTTCTCTTTTCCGAAGTAGATTACATACAGGTCACCTTGATATAATCAGCATGAAGCTTACAAGAGCAATAAATAGCTGGCTTAATCACTCAGTCACATTGTAGAAGGGCAAGGTTACGAAGGGAGAGGTACAGTGTTGGAATGAAACAATATCCATCTGGTGATGGAGACTGATATGGTGTCGTAATATCATCCTGAGTATATCCCGAGCTAGCCATGTGTTCCGCCTCCCCAGGTTATTTACACCACGACTGTGACCTGAAGGTGCATGAGCTGGAGCGCACCATCCAGCAGCTGCAGCAGAAGCTGGCCGCCTCTCACACCAACGTCACCGAGAAGATCTACATCATTGACGAGCATGAGAAGGTGATCCAGAACACCAGGGTCATCATCGAACGACAGCGGCAGGAGATGGACGAGAAGGAGAAGGTGATAGAGAAGCTGAGACGCAACATGGAAGAGACGCAGTCAGTGATGGGGAGGCATAAGAAGGAGCTTGCTGAGAAGGACAAGGTTATTGAAAGTATGAGGCACAAAGTGGAAGAATCACAGCATGCGACAGCCAAACACAAGAAGGAGCTTGCAGAGAAGGAGAAGACGATCATGGAAAGGGAGAAGACAATATCAGAGCGGAACAGACCATCAGTGAGCGGGAGCAGACGTATCAGAGGCTGCAGCAGAAGAAGGAGAAGATGGAGGCCATGTTGAAGAAAGCTTCGAAGGAGATCAAGAGGTAAGTGGCCCAGATCACTTGGTGATCTATGATGTTGATACACATGACATTATGTAGTGTCAGGTATTTTCTGTGTATTTTCAGTTCATTATCATAGTTCAGTATTGACTTGGCTGAAGCAGTAACTTAGTAAGCACAGCTTAGATATGTTGTGTGTTTCTGCTGCAGATTGAACCTTGAGGTGGGAGACTTGAGGGACAGAGAGGAGGAGAAGGCAGAGCTGAACAAGACTCTGCGACTGGAGCTTCAGCGTGTATGAGAAACTGCAAGGTGGTGAGCAAGGTAAGTCCACTCTCCCACAGGCAAGATGTTCAGTACTTGGTGCATGCAGTTTCATTGGGGCTAGGTTGGATGAGGAATGACTTGAGATAAATAATGAAAGTGATGTTCTTGGAGTAGGTAGAGTGACTGAGTATTTCTTGACAAGATATCTTTGTTGTCCCTGGGTTGTCCCTGTGCTTAACTCACTGTGAACAATGCATGTGAGACTACCTCCCTAGGTAACATGTCCAAGTGTCGCCCACAGAGAACCGACGAGAAGTCCTGCATCCGGGAGCTGCTGACAGAGATCCGAGGCTGAGGGTCCAGCTGGAACGAAGCATCGATGCCAATGACACCCTGCGATCCAAACTGGAGGAGATCCTCCGACAACAGCTCCAACAACAGCAGCAGCAACAGCGCAACAAGAGCCCCACTGGTTCTCACAGTGAGTTATTACCCTAGCCTCCACACACACATCCCTGAAGACAGGATAGTGATGTCATCAGAAATCCCTGTTGGTTGTAAGAGGTAACTAGAAGGATCAGGTGGTCAGGCTCGCTGACTTGGGTGATGCATGTCATCGGTTCCCAGCACAGATCAGTAGTCATGGTGTCATTCATTTTATTGATTATTTGACTTGATTATGAAGAGAAGAGATTATTACTGAATGTGGATGGGATGTAACTGTTGATGCTATTGAGACTATTTGTTGTGTAAATAGTGTGTATCTGTTGATGTTATTTCAGCCACTGATGCACCAGATGGACGACCCAGCCCCGAGTCTACGTTGAGACCAGAGAGGAAGTCTGATTCCAAGACGAAAGACACGTACATTCGAACGTACCGATCAGACAAAGAGTACAAGTACAGTGTAATCACCCGTGAGGCAGGTCTCCATGAAGATGCAGGTCAGTAAATATTATCTCCCTTGTGTGCTGTGATCAATCTCATAATAGCTAATGTTTCCATGGTAACGGGCACCTTTCTTGAAAACAATCTGATGTTCTATCCTAACTAGATGTGGAGAGCTGTTCACCTTACATGTGCATCTAATCACTGAGTGTTTGCTGGTACTATATTGGTTTATTCTATCATGTTGTGAGGGTCACCACTCACATGTGTGCCGGGGTCAGGTGTGGGCTGGGGGGCGGGGATGAGTTGATGATGGAATGACTTCGACTCAATCAACGTCATCATCATCTTGGTTTTCATTGACTTGACAAAAGACTCCTGCTGACATCACTTGGGGTCTGTTGGAATGTTTGTCCTAACTCATTAAATATGATGAGGATCAGACCCTGTCTGAAACTGTAATTTCTCTGACAATCTTCAACCTTGTAACAACCTTTATCTCTGCATCACTTGGGAAATAAACTACACTCACTCACTCACTCACTCACTCTAACTGTGTGCCTCTCTCTCTAACCGTGTATAGACCACGTGTACAGTGACTTCACCAGCACCACCGACTCGCACCACCACGCCGACAAGACAGGTGGTTCCCCTGCAAGGACGTCCACATGTCTCAGTCCCTCCCAGTGCCCCCAGCAGCCATGTCACATGGCACCAGTCTCATGTCACTGCCAGACTACCTCACCACCCTCCCTGAGCGGCGCCGGCACCTGGCGTCGATGGAGAACATCAAGTACTGGGTTGACAGTCAACCAGGAGATGTCATGAAAGGTCCCTTAGACTTTACATTGATTTACTTCTTCCTCCTTGTAGTCATTCTGTACATTAAAACATATTGGTTTTGGTAATATTTTGGATAATGACGATAAGAATGTAAGTTATTCAGGTTTTATTGCCATGAAATAGTCTGTTGTGAAGCACTTTAGTACAAAAAGTACATCTTTTCTGAAATGCATGGGGCGGTGGGGTAGCCTAGTGGTTAAAGCGTTGGCTCATCACGCCGAAGACCCGGGTTCGAATCCCCACATGGGTACAATGAGTGAAGCCCATTTCTGGTGTCCCCCCGTGACATTGCTGGAATATTGCTAAAAGCGGCGTAAAACCAAACTCAGTCAGTCTGAAATGCATTATGCATTTTCAGTTGTTTCAGTGTATAATAAATATCACTGGAGATGATATCTCTACAACATTTAACATCTTTGCTCTATATTACATTTGTTGACATGCTATATACTGAAGATAAAACATTGTGTGACGCTTGTTCCTTTTGCTGAGTATAGATAAGCTTGACATCAACACATGATGGTGAGATTCTATCTGTCATCCAAGACATTGGCTAAGACAGGTATCGCTGTGTCCGTGTGTTTGATATCAACGATACTAAGTTGAGATTCTTGAATGTATGGTTTCAAATTACAAATTCAAACTGGTGCTGAATCCTGTTTGAGATCTGTGTTTGTATCGTCGACAGACTTCCCTGTTGTGAGGGTAGACTCTGACATCCGTCGACTGTTTGCCATTGGGAAGCTGGATGACTTTGAGAAGCTGCGGAAGGAGAATGGAGAGTGTGTGGCCACGTTATGCAGCATTCAGGCCCGGGTCAGCGACCGACTTAAGACGCTCAAGGGCTTGTCCACCACAGAGGTTAGTTTCATCCTATACTATCACAGCTGTGAAGTAGGGTGCGGAGGATCCTGGGCTGGAACTGGCCACCTGTACATCTGGTGACTACATCAGTCACTGAATTGTTCAGAGCACATCTGAATAATTTACATTTTGTCGTGACATAGCTGGAATATTGCTTACTGCAGCGTTAAACAGTGCAAACATTTGGGGGGCTTTGTGGCCCATTTGTCCGAGATATTGTAATTTGCCATGAAGAGTTGCCTGCCTTTAGCATGTCAGGAACCTATCATTGTAGTAACCATTGATTACCTGAACTCTTTTTTCAATATGACCTAACAAGAATTCCTTGACTTGTGACCCAGCAATCTTTTGATAAAAATTACACTAGTTCCAGCAATAAAATTGTTTCTGTCTATAGTAGAAATATGTATTTGATAGACTTTAATTTCTTTTTATGTTTTGTGTTTTACTATCTTTAAAAATCTTCAGAAATTAGGGGTGGGGGTGGCAGTTTGGAAATTAGGTTTGGAAGATATTGTGCACCTTTGTATACACAGTATGTAATGTCAATGTCATATTGTATTGTGAGATGGTTTGTTTAATGACTTCACAAGATGTTTTCTTCCTTCTCTTGTCAGCTACTGAAGGTAAACCTCAATTTCTATGCCTGTGCTTGTACATTGCATGTCAAACATTGCTTGTTGCCATAGCAACAGGCAATCATACATTATTGCATGCTCAAACATTGTCAGTTGTCATAGAAACGTCATATAACCTTCCTTCATGTATATTCATCATTTGGCAAATGTCTAACTACATTTCACAACAATTCATCCCTGTAACCATGGTAACTGAAAAGGTATAGGTCTGACTTGCTAACCTGGGAACAGGGTGTTGAGAATCTACGACCTGGTGGATGGCTTGTTATCACACCACAGTTGTGTGACCATACCTTCCGGTCAGTCAGTGTGGTGCCTGGCACAGACCTTATTATGTACAGGCTTTTATAAGGTGGGTTACAAATATTACACACTTCATGTAGATTCGGGACGGTGGGGTAGTCTAGTGGTTAAGGCGTTCGCTAGTCACGCCGAAGACCCGGGTTCGATTCTCCACATGGGCACAATCTGTGAAACCCATTTCTGGTGTCCCCTGCCATGATATTGCTGGAATATTGCTAAAGCGGCTTAAAAGTAAACTCACTCATGTAGATTCATGGAACAGTTGCTCATAGCTCAAAATGCTACTCACAATGCAAAGTTGCTTTGAAAATTATGTAATTATGTCGTAAACGTTTCCTCTGGATTATGGTGGGTAGAACTGAGACATACAGAAATGGAAATGACATTTTAAACTAAGTCATAGTGTATCCCTAGTGGTATGCCGATGAAGTTACATGATCATCTCCCTTGGTTGTGACGTCACAGCATGGTTGCTTGAAAACCTTCATATTTTTCTGTATGGGCCACCAGGTAAGATGGGCCTTCATCAACGTAAACATCCAAGTTGACATTAAGCCAGCAGGCCAGAGTTGGAAACTGACTTAAGTAGTAGCATTCCATGTGGCATTGAACCCATGTTGCTAGGTTGGCCAGCAGTATGTGCATGTCTAGTCAATCGTGTACAGTGTACCCACTATGTGTTTTTAGTGCAATAGGGCCGGTGGGGTAGCCTAATGGTTAAAGCGTTGCCACGCCAAAGAGAATCCCCACATGGGTACTGAAGCCCATTTCTGGTGTCCCCCGGCGTGATGTTGCTGGAATATTGCTAAAAGCGGCATAAAACCAAACTCAGTCAGTCAGTTTTAGTGCCATAAGTCCTCTAGCCTGCATGATCCTGCCATCCATGTCGCTGATATAACATATAAGCAGTTGTACAGCTAGCCTGAATTTGTGCATTCCCTGTCTTCTTCCTGTATTTTCCAAACACATAATATTTGCTGCTCATTTATCAAAAGTATGCTTTATTATGGTGGTCTAATGGTAAATGCTGATGAAATTGATGGCCCGGGTTTGAATCCCAACACCAGTACAGAGAAACCCAGGGTCATGTCAGGCTGCTGCTGCTGTACCCTTGTTACTTTACTCAATATAGCCTTGCCATCAGCATCATGATCACAAACTAGACGTCACAGTGGCGTTGTTGGTTAAATGGTCATGGTTGTTATGACGGTTGTGTTTTCAATCATTCTCAGGGTTCAGGCCCTCTATTATGGCAGAAGTAGCATGAGAACATCATGTTTCCTACATGATACATTATACACCTATGTTTTGAAACAGTAAACATTACAATACCTTCTAGTTTCATTACTTACGCTTTTGTGTGGAAATTAAGAATTCAGAAGCTATTAAAGAAAGTTTGTGTGAAATCACTTTGAAACTTATAATCCGCTGTATTTGCTCATGGTGTACAGTATTCAGGTATTATATATTATGAGTATTGTGTTCTAGGTAAAATATGGAGCGGTGGGGTAGCCTAGTGGTTAAAATGTTGGATCGTCACGCCGAAGACCCGTGTTCGAATCCCCACATGGGTACATAGAGAATCTCACCCAAGTGTCTTCTGATATCAATTATATCAACACGAGTTGATAAAGTTACAAATATCAGAGGCTTGCCGAGGATATTTTTACTTTTATCAACGAAAGTGTTGATATATTTGATATCAGAAGACACGAGGGTGAGATTCTATTTATCATCAAAAATCACTCTTCATTAATTTTCAATGAAAAATGTACATCTCTGGACATGGTACTGCCATTAGACTTGCAGTGCAGCGATGTCATAGCATTGTGACGTCATCAAGTACATGACGTCATAGCATTGTCAGGGCATTGTACAAAATCTACTGTCAGAACGATATCTCCTAGGAGATATCGTTTGATCTCACACAAGCGATATCTCCTGTGGAACACAGTTTTGGATGATAAAATGTGTGAAGCCCATTTCTGGTGTCCCCCGCCGTGATGTTGCTGGAATATTGCTAAAAGCGGCGTAAAACTAAATTCAGTCAGTCAGTCTAGGTAAAATGGTATGAATGTGTTGAACAGAGACACCTACTTGTAGATCCACAATGAATGTTTACATGAAGGGTTTCTCTCTCATTCCCTCATATCTTACCTCGCTAACAACGCTTCATAGAAGGTAGTCAAACAAACTTGGTAACATCCAGTGCATCAGAGAACTAGTCAGGCTATGAACTAAATATAGTCTTTATTTTGATCAACTGTCAAAACTTTACAAAAGAGCTCTATCTGACTATGTTTATTTCATAAAATTCATAAATCACCCTATGTGCATGCCCCCTGAATTGGTATGTCCTGTATCTGTTTAATCATTTAATGGTCTTGACAACAGACATGTTAGTCGCCAGCAACCTCTGTTGTAAGAGGGGCGGTGAGGTAGCCTAGTGGTTAAAGCGTTCGATCATCACGGCGAAAACCCGGGTTCGATTCCCCGGGCACAAGGTGTAAAGCCCATTTCTGGTGTCCCCTGCTGTGATATTGCTGGAATATTGCTAAAAGCGGCGTAAAGCCAAACCCACTCACTCACTCACTGTTGCAAGAGGCAACTAAATGGGTGTGGTCATCATCCGTTGACGGCATGCACCATTGATCACAATATTGATTGTAGGATTGTCTGATCCAGACACTGGCCAACATTGCATAGATGGAATATTCCACCTTTATCACTGCAGTGTCCACTTGTTATTTCAATGCATCTCTGACAGCATATCATATTGCATGGTATTAAGGCAGCAATGGTCCAACATGATTTCTGATGATTTCTTAACAATTATAATGACCATGTTGTCTATTCGTGCCATGACGTGCCACGAATGGCGGCATTAGTTACTATCCCTGACACTGATGATGACCATGTTGTCTGTCTCCTACACTGATGATGACCATGTTGTCTGTCCCTGACACTGATGACGGCCATGTTGTCTGTCCCAGACACTGATGACGGCCATGTTGTCTGTCCCTGACACTGATGATGACCATGTTGTCTATCCCTGACACTGATGACGGCCATGTTGTCTGTCCCCGACACTGATGACGGCCATGTTAGTATTTCCCTGACACTGATGACGGCCATGTTGTCTGTCCCTGACACTGATCATGACCATGTTGTCTATCCCTGACACTGATGACGGCCATGTTGTCTGTCCCCGACACTGATGACGGCCATGTTAGTATTTCCCTGACACTGATGATGACCATGTTGTCTGTGCCCAACACTGATGACGACCATGTTAGTATTTCCCTGACACTGATGATGACCATGTTGTCTGTGCCCAACACTGATCATGGCCATGTTAGTATTTCCTCGACACTGCTGATGACCATGTTGTCTGTGCCCGACACTGATGACGGCCATGTTAGTATTTCCCTGACACTGATGATGACCATGTTGTCTGTGCCCAACACTGATGATGACCATGTTGTCTATCCCCGACACTGATGATGACCATGTTGTCTGTGCCCGACACTGATGATGACCATGTTGTCTATCCCCGACACTGATGATGACCATGTTGTCTGTGCCCGACACTGATGATGACCATGTTGTCTGTCCCCGACACTGATGACGGCCATGTTAATATTTCCCCGACACTGATGACGGCCATGTTGTCTGTCCCTGACAGATGATGACCATGTTGTCTGTCCCTGACACTGATGACGGGCATGTTGTCTGTCCCCGACACTGATGACGGCCATGTTAGTATTTCCCCGACACTGATGATGACCATGTTGTCTGTCCCTGACACTGATGATGAGCATGTTGTCTGTCCCTGACACTGATGATGACCATGTTGTCTGTCTGACATCCCGACACTGATGACGGCCATGTTAGTATTTCCCCGACACTGATGATGACCATGTTGTCTGTCCCCGACACTGATGATGAGCATGTTGTCTGTCCCTGACACTGATGATGAGCATGTTGTCTGTCCCTGACACTGATGATGAGCATGTTGTCTGTCCCTGACACTGATGATGACCATGTTGTCTGTCCCTGACACTGATGATGACCATGTTGTCTGTCCCTGACACTGATGACGGCCATATTAGTATTTCCCCAACACTGATGACGACCATGTTGTCTCTCCCGAAACTGATGACGACCATGTTAGTATTTCCCCGACACTGATCACGACCATGTTAGTATCTCCCTGACACTGATGATGGCCATGTCGTCTGTCCCCGACATTGATGACAACCATGTTGTCTGTCCCCGACACTAATGATGCCCATGTTGTCTGTCCCCGACACTGATGACGGCCATGTTGTCTCTCCCCAACACTGATGACGGCCATGTTGTTCGTCCCGACACTGATGATGGCCACGTTGTCTATCCCTGACACTGATGATGACCATGTTGTCTGTCCCCGACACTGATGACGTCCATGTTGTCTGTCCCCGACACTGATGACGGCTATGTTGTCTGTCCCCAGAGTGTGGAGTACAGCACCCTGAAGGAGCTTGGGCATGTCGGCAGAGAACCTCCGCATTTGCCTGGAGCAGGAGCAGAGACTGGTGTCCGCGTTCTGGGTCTCGCAGCTGCCACCCATCAACGAGCTAGGTGAATTCTTCGACCCAAAGATGGCCTCTGAGGTGAGATACAGCATCAGCAGTGTACTTGAAGTATGTATCCTTCCTGTTCCACCTCAAATATGGGTAGTACCGACATGATCAATTTCACTAGCAAGTATTTAGGTATAGCCCTTGACTACAAGGTCATCTGGTGATCTGTGTGCATCTCATAATGTATGAACAGAAGATTCCATATAACAGGAGCTATGAACCAGAGTCTAAGGGTGATGGAGCAGCCTATTGGTTCAGTGCTCAGCTTATCCAAGTCATGGCTCTTCTTTGATTAGTGACGCTAGTTTTGTGAACCCCACTTTAATCTTACATTGCATGTTTCACTGGATACTTTCTCCCCTAGAACGAGGACCTGAAGCGTAACCTGGTCCACCTGCGCTCCAAGTACGACCTTCTGAAACATCAGGTCCGCGAGGCTGACCACAGACTCCAGGCCACCAACAAGCAGAGGGAGAACGTAGAACAAGTGCTGTACAAACAATGTGAGTAGATAGGATAAACGTAGAACAAGTGCTGTATAAAAATGTGAGTAGATAGGGAGAACAGAACAAGTGCTGTACAAACAATGTGAGTAGATACAGGCAGAGAGAATGTAGAACAAGTGCTGTATAAATAATGTGAGTAGATAGGCAGAGGGAGAAGTAGAACAAGTGCTGTATAGACAATGTGGGTAGACAGGCAGAGGGAGAATGTAGAACAAGTGCTGTATAGACAATGTGGGTAGACAGGCAGAGGGAGAACGTAGAACAAGTGCTGTACAAACAATGTGAGTAGACAGGCAGAGGGAGAACGTAGAACAAGTGCTGTATAGACAATGTGGGTAGACAGGCAGAGGAGGAGAACAAGTGCGTATAGACAATGTGGGTAGACACAAGTGAGGTACAAACAATGTGAGTAGACAGGGAGAGGGAGAAAGTAGAACAAGTGCTGTATAGACAATATGGGTAGACAGGCAGAGGGAGAATGTAGAACAAGTGCTATATAAACAATGTGAGTAGACAGACAGAGGGAGAACGTAGAACAAGTGATGTACAAACAATGTGAGTAGATAGAGAGGGAGAGCAGTAGAACAAGTGAGGCGGCAGACTAGAATAGCGAAGTGACGTCAATACGGTGTGACATAATGCAGTAAATGTACTGATAAAGTACTGTTGGCACCTTTGATCTTTTAGCGAAGCATCTAGGAAAGTGTAGTAATGTGTAAATGCATGTGTTTCACAGATCAGTCTGTATGTTACAATTTACATGTAATGATATGACATCACGATATCTGTACAGACCGTCCATCTGACTTGCATGGGTTTATACAAGACTGTCGTGTTGGGAATTGGTTTAAAATCTCACATTTGATGATTGGTTCATTACAATCTATCAATCATCGAAAATATTTAGTTAGCATCATTTGTCAAATTGTCCTGGTTATGTTTGTTAATGCGTAAAAAAAATATAGAAAAAACATGTATTTCTTTCAGGTTTTACTTGCAAATTGCACAAAATGCATTTACAAATTCATTTCCTGGAGTCCTTAAGATAAATTCAAACATGACAAGCCCGTGCTTATGAAAAGTAACAGACAAAACCAACCTTGTGAAAAATATTGTTAATGCAAACAAGTGTTCCAAAATTGTTTGTGTTCGATTATTAGAAAATATGATCGATTGCTTGGTCATTTAGTCATTGCGACCAATCTTCGATTATTTCAATTAATTGGACCACCACTACAAGACTGCATGCAACAGGTAGTGTAGTAATGTGTACATGCATGTGTTCCACAGATCAGTCCCTTCTGGACAAACACCGGTGGGTGGAGGACCTCTAGGTGCAAACCTTGTCTGTGTCCTGTGTCTGTCAGTCTGTCAGGTTGTCCATCAGTCTGTCTTGTGTGTTGTGTATTCATTTATCCTACCTGACACATCAGAGCTGCTGTCACATGTGAAGTTACCTATAATACCTCAATAAACTATCTCAATTAGGAACCGTTCATAATATTTATTTATTTATTATATTTTATTATTTTTCATTATTTTTAATTATTTTTCATAATTTTTTTTTTTATTTTTTTTTATTTATTTATTTATTTATTTTTTTTTTGTGGGGGGGTTTTTTGGGGTGTTGGTTGGTTGGTTGTGACTATGATTGGGGGTGTTTACCCATTTTGGTTTGGTGGTCACCCATTTATTTGTACACACACATACTAGGGTGGTCAGCAATTTTGTACATAATTATATTTTAAAATTATGCTTAGAAATTATGGGAAGGGGTGGGGTGTCATTGATTTTGTTCATGACATGCAGAAGTCACTTATTTTGTACATAAATTTTAGGTGGGTGTCAATCACATTGTACATGCTTCTCCATAACAATCCACACACACACACAAACACACCAGCCATAAATTATGAACGGTCCCTTATAACTAGACTGTTAATGGTCAGTGTACATTATAGACGCCATCTGAAACTTTGCTCTGTATACTCCAATGTACGTCATGTCCATTCTGTGATGAGAAACACCTAGAATCCGCTTTAGCTTCGTTCCATCACGATCTCCATCTCTTCCATCTGTAACCTAACACATGGGTGTCTGACCCATGACAGTAACTTAAAAAGGAAGCTGTTAGCAGCATGTAATGGAGCTGACTGAAGCAGTGAGTGGGTCCAGGGTATGTGTCACAGTAGAATGGAGGTGTGATATATTGGAGTTACATGCAGATTGCTCACAGCCCACGTGACAGTAGTTGTGTGTGATGTACTCTGTGTTGTGAGAAGCTGGGAGACAGGTACAGGCAACATAAACTCTTGCAGCTGTGTGTCTGTGTGTTTACAGTTTCTAGATGTGTTTTATATCATATTCCTCTCCTCTGTGGTATATATTCAGAGATTTTGGTGCCCTTCTCTTACAGGTTGCTGATATCAATAAATGTGTGATAATCTTCTCCAGTGTTTTGGTGGCAGAGCTTCTACAGTACTAACCATTTTCATTCTGTTTTTTGTCCTATGATCTGCTTATAAGTTTCTTATTCAAATTGTAGGTCGTTGTAAAAAATTTTATGTTATGTGTCTTGATCACCAATGAGTGTGTAGGTCACACTGCAGGGTAATAATGTCTGTGGGAATCACTGAGCCCACATGTACAGATGTGCTTGAACCGTGCTATTGATTCATGTCAAAGAAGTATAGACCAGGTTGAAACAAGGACACAGCACATGTTTGAAAGGTAATCGGAAAAAAGCATCAGGAAAAAAAGAATCGGACAAAAAGAATCAAGTTTTGCTAGGAATAAAGGAAACAGGAAAAAAAGAATCAGTTGACAGCAGTTAAGACTTCCACCAGACCTTGTTCTTTCTTGTACAGTTTCTGGTGTACGTGTACCCATTCCAGCAAAGCTTCTTGCCTCCCTTGTTGCTCTCTATCACCTTTTTTTCCTACAATCGTTTAAAAAGGTAATACAGATGTCAAGGAAGCATTGAGCACTGGCTTGTTTCCCCCACTAGAACCAGGCTGTTTCTGCGTATTTGGTTGTATATCGCGATAGTGTTAGTAGTATGCATAGATGGCTCAGTGTATATAATTGGGAGGAACTATAGATGTTATTGTCTTTTCATCCAGCTCAGAATACTGTTTCATTTGGGGGTTACTGTTTGAGATTTCAATCAATGTTTACAGCAAGATTGTCAGGGTTTGTGCATATAGCAGAAACCCTGACAATCTTGCTGTAAACACCTCCACCATCTATATCAGGCTTGTATGTAGTGTAATGCTTAAGGTATGCAGCTATTGTCAGGCAGGAATATTTTTATGCCCCACCATATATGGCTGGGGTCCGTACGTAAAAAACAGGGACTGTACTCTATCCACTTCTCCACAAAAAATGCTCTGTGGAATTCAATGAACTTATACATGGGCTTTCTTGGGACTCTAATGGTGTGCAACTCATTTTGATTTTGTATTTTATATTTTTTTGTATGTTTAGAGACATGTGAACTTATAAAATTTGTTGAATTTCTCTCTGATGATAGTGAAATAGGGGATTAAGTCTATCCACTTCTCCACAAAAACTGCACAACAGAATTGATTAAGCTTATACGTGTGTTTCATTGGGACTCGAAAGGTGTGCATCTCATAGTTGCATAGATGTTTATTGAACTTGTTCGTGAATTTTGTTCAATTATTGATCTTTATATGATAATAGGTTGTGTTATCTAACCCCTCAACACATTGTAAGTAAGTTCATTGTGACATACATTTACAAATAAGTATTTACATTGGACACTTGGGATATATTTATGTTATAATCAACCATGATATTTATTTTGTAGAAATTAATCACCAGAGCACACTCAGTGTAGGGAACTCTTCCTACAGCAGCGGGGGCATCCGTGTCACTGGACACAATTTTTTCTTGTTGGAGATTTCTTTCATAATAGCTGATATCTTCAGACTCTCTGCTGGTAGTAGAGATTCATGCTGTAATGTTTCCATTGTTTGATGTTGATGACATTCTCCTTGTTGTATTGCAGTGTCCCATACGTACAAGGTGCTGCACAAAGCAGGTTCCAACATGGAGAAGTCGGCAAGAGAGTCCGGTTTCAAGATACCCACCACTAAAAGATGATGCCAGTCCTGGAACCTGTGTACTCGACCCCAACCCGCTAGGTCATCACACAAACCTCACACCCATAATGGCGTCATTTAAACACAGACCCACAATGACGTCATTCAAATCTGACAAACACCCAACTCAAGATGATGTCAGCCTGGGGATGTGTGTCTTCATGATATATAGTTCATCACAAGCATTACTGGACTTGTTTCCATCATATTAAAACCTGGCAACCAGGGAGCTGATCACATGACCCAATCAACAATGGCTGCTGTATATACAAGGAACAAGTCTGCTGAAGATTTGTCATTCATCTGTTGAGTTGGAGCATCTGGTTGATGTGTCAGCTTCTTGGATTCTCATAGTTAGTTTCCAGCATTATCTGTGGATAGTTTCCACTACAGATTATACAAAGGTCATCCATCACAAAATCTTCCATTAATTGGTATATGTGAGCATATCAAGTTCATGTTTGCATTTCATGTTGATGATTAATTTGAAACATCTGTCATGTTGAAATATTGATATGAAATGAACCTCTCATTAGGTGCAGAGTTTGTTGAGCAACTGCATTTTTATTGATTTAATTGAGACCGTGTCGTTGATGTCCGTGATGGTGTGACTGTTGTAGAGGTCAAACTCGTGTTGTTGACAGGGTGTTCCTGTGTTGGCAGAGTGAGCAGATGTCATCTGTTGTAAATATTGCTGACACTGTAAGGAGCTGTTGCTCAAGTTGTTATTATCAAGGGACCAAAAAGCAAATGTGAATTAATTTTGATTTTGTCTTTCCAGTCGTTTCAAAACCTCAGTGTTTTTTAACTCTTCTTCATCGTAACCATTTTGACAGCATTTTAATACATTGTTCCCAACACATTTTTAAATCTCACTTATCGTAAACTGATGCTTCAGCCTGTTTTATGTCATCTTGGTCGTGTGTACTGGGGGTGTCTTCGGGGACCGAGATACTGTGAAACACTAAGACCACTATTCCCAGGGTTGTTATAATGCTCCAGTCTGTTACTACGTACAGTGGGGCATAGTGTTACAAATAGTGGGGAATAGTGTTACAGATAGTTGGGAATAGTGTTACAGATAGTGGGAAATAGTGTTACTGTCATCAACAAGATGTTATGGAGCATCGATCTTCACCCAGCCAACTAACACACTAACAATGGATGCAGTGTTTTCCTCATTTCGCTTTCGTACAACGGATGATAACAGTTTTCTGGCAGTACAAAATTGTTTCTTTCAGTGTAGTTTTTGTAGAAATTATCAATTCATTCCTAAAGGCAGTCAGATATTTTAAGGGTTACGCTTCACAAGAGCTGTCAAACACATATTGAACATATATTTAATGAGCTTCAAGTCTACTTGACCATGTATTGTTCATATGTGGAGTTATCTCCCCTGTATAGACCGAGGAACTACTTGCCATCGTGTTAATGAATGATCAGGGGCTATGGGTGTATTTAGTTCAGAGGAATCTTGGTCTTCCCAACAATTTCCGCTAGCTTTTTGATACAGTCATCCCTGATATATGTATTATGGAGTGTGCCTGAAATACGTGCCAGGTGGAGAAGTGGAAAGATATAGCATCCCACACATATTAGTGTGATCAGAGACCACAAACAGACATGTTATGGTGCTGTGTCTTCAACTGTATACAACAGGTAACATAAATGCTAAATGTTGATAGTACAGACCTCCCACACTTAAACTATAAAGCTGAATCACTTCTTCCACTGTTCGTCTTCCAGCAGAAAGTATTACAGTATACACTCAAGACAACGCTAGAACCTGCCATATTTTTATAGGATTTATTGTATTTGAGGTCATTTTGCCGCAAGCTACTGAATATTAACTGCTGAAGAATGTATGTGATAGATCTGTTTCTATGGAAACAGTGGCTTGGTATAGAGATGGTTCTTTACAATAACTACCGCTATTGCTGGTTCTGGGAAAGCAGTTGCATGGTGTGAGTAGATAGATGTGTTTATTATCATATCATCATCATCATCATCATCATCCAAGCCTCATAATGTGTCATGCTTCCTGTTTTAGCAATGAGTCCATGAGCATGTATTTTGTTCATCATTTTCTGTTGTATGTACATGGTCGTGGATAAGGCTGTAGGGATACACGACTGTTGTATGTACATGGTCGTGGATAAGGCTGTAGGGATGCACGACTGTTGTATGTACATGGTCGTGGATAAGGCTGTAGGGATACGACTGTTGTATGTACATGGTCGTGGATAAGGCTGTAGGGATACACGACTGTTGTATGTACATGGTCGTGGATAAGGCTGTAGGGATGCACGACTGTTGTATGTACATGGTCGTGGATAAGGCTGTAGGGATGCACGACTGTTGTATGTACATGGTCGTGGATAAGGCTGTAGGGATACATGACTGTTGTATGTACATGGTCGTGGATAAGGCTGTAGGGATACACGACACATAAGTCTCAACACTTGCTTCATTAATTATTCCATGGAGTGAGTGACGGTCTACACAGGTTAAGCCACTCTGGTTGTTTTCATTGCTATTAGTGGCGGCCTAAGAGACAGCTGGCAGTTCCAGCAATTACTGATTGCTCGAATAATTGACCGCGCAATGTAGTCTAAACTGTCAATTCCGCGAAATTTGCACCAAGCGAAAAAGTATGTTTACAGTATTCAGTCAGTTCAAATCATTTGACCTAACAGTGGTTGAGAAGATAATATCTTACATTACATTTTTGTGACATGTTATATCTCTATTGTATTTATTGGTAATGTCTGTGTCCCAATACGACCTGATACAATCAAATACACCATACTCTCATCATGGCACAGTGTATCACAATGTACTGCATCATCACAACCTCACAGACTCGGATCTTCACAGCAGGATGTATGGACCTGTGTTTATGTTATTGTACATACCTTAGTTGAACCTGCGGACGCTGTGATAGCCAACGTGTAGCAGAACTCTGGAGATACCACATGATAGGCACCTGTAGCAGCTCCTGGCAACTGTGGGGGGCATCTCAAATATAGGGGTACACAATGTATTTTAATATATTGCAATATACTTAATGAGAGAAAAATTAAAATATTTGTCTTGACCTTTGAGATGGCCCAGAGGTGTTACTGATGCAATATGGAGGAGTTGAGTATGAATAGTATATAAGTACATGGTTTTGTTATGTAATATGTATTTATGAAGATATGCCATAATCCTAGTTGCTATAATCACAGAGTGTATTTTCATAACATAAGTTATTTCCTGGTGTAGTTAGTTTACATGTAAGGGATACTGCAGACCACCACATATTTAACTGATTGACACATATTAACTGGTCCAGGTTGAATATTTGGGATGACATGTCTGAGGATGTTTACAACAAATAGTTCTTCCTAAATCTATTCTATTAACTTAGTGGGTCATGTGCCTGTGAAATACATTCATCTGTTGCACATCATCTCAAGGCAAGGGAGATAACTGAGTGTAAACGTCCAGTCTCCACTCAACCAGTATAGTCAGTTAACTCCCTTGCCTTTCTCACATACTCTTCTAAATGACTTCTTGAGATATCATATGAAATCTGTTGTAAGAAAAACATTAACCCACTCTGTTGCTAAATACCTATTGTATAGTGTTGTTCTGTCAGGCAGAATCTCAGTGATGGTGTCTCAAATATCACCTGTCTTCTACATATGTACATACAATGTTCCACAACATGCTACACTGATCTGTCTCTGTGCAGCTGTAGGCTGTTTATTCTTCTGTCATCCCTGGTTACCGTATCTAGGGTGAGAATGTTGTGTTTGGTTCTGAGCGCCAGGCTGCTGGAGATGAGGGAAATGATTGGATGATGTGTTTCTTTCTGTCTCTCCTGTAAATTGTTCATGACCACCACAATAAAATGCTATTGATCAGATCTGAATGTATGTCTTTCTTTTCAACCAGCTTCAGGGTTAGTGGAGTGGTTTTATGCCATTTTTAGCAATATCACCGTGGGGACACCAGAAATGGACTAGTCTCAGAATATAAGTAGAAATTGCACTGAAGTTCATATAGTGGCAGACACAGGGGCGTGTCACGCGTTTAGAAACAGCGTAAGAAAGACAAATAGGTATATAGACCCTACCCTAGTATTATATAAAAGGATCCTTTTATATAATACTTGGGTAGGGTCTATATACCTATATGTCTTTCTAACGCTGTTTCTAAGCGTGACACGCCCCTGTGGGCAGACAGACATGCAGGACTTCTATATGGATGATCTATATGGCACTCAACTCTGACTGTTCTTAGGGGCCGTTCATAATTCATGGCTAGGGGGGTGTAATGATGACTTTTATGGAGAAGCATGTACAATGTGAATGACCCCCCGTAAAATGTATGTACAAGGTAAGTGACACCACCCTGCATGTCATGTACCAAGTCAATGACCCTCTCCCCTTTACAAAGTTTTCAAAGCATAATTCCCCCTTTCCATATTGCTTTTAAAGCATACGTGTACAAAATTGATGACACACCCACCCACCCCCCACCTCCGGAACAAAATGGGCAGCCTGGTTCCCTGGGTCTGTTGCGCCTGCGCTAACGCTCCGACTCAGTAGCAAAATGGGTGACCCGCCTTGAAATCATCACAAACCCCCCACCCGCCATAAATTATGAACGGTCCCTTAAAGGGGCAAAATGTCACATTTTCATAGGCGGATCCAGAGTGTTTATTTCTTTGTTTAACGCCGCACTCAGCAATAGTCCACATATATGGCGGCGGTCGAAGCCGACTAAAACCACTCGGACCCACAGCTTTTGTCTTCTGCAGGTCCTTATGGGCAACAGCTTTTTCATCCCCAATAACTTAGAGTATTATTTTTCAGACAATATTCAGTAATTTCTAGTTTTTATCTCGATCAGCAGCTGTTGCTTAGTTGTCACATATTTCTTTTGCTGGGAATTACTTATGTTGTAGCTAAAATATAGGGCCTTCACATTTCTGATCACGACCCACAACTTTTAATGGCACTGGGTCCTTAGGGCCGACCCACAGCATTTCAGGGTTAAGGGCAAACACTGCAACTGAAACAAAATCAACTGAAACAAAACATTATGGTACAAGTCAAAATATGGATTGCATCGGACATCGATTTTCCCAATGGCGCGCAAAATATATAATCAACGTTTCCAAACACCAATATTGTCTTAAGAAGAAAGGTACAACGTTAGGCCTTCAATGACTTTAGCAACCGGGTACCCATTTTCTGATGGGTAAAAGCGTCTAGCCTAATGAGAGTCGTATCATATGACTTCGTTTGCAGGAACTAGAAACTCTCAGGAGTCAAGCTGAAGTGGAGCGACGTTCTTAACTTCAAAGATGTCAAATGTAGACAGTACACAGGGGTTAATGAATGCCAATAGTCGAATGATGCCTTTTGAACTGTCCGCGGAAGGAATACTCCAAAGTTGTCAAAAGTAGACAGCTTGAGGTTAATGAATGTTGCATGAAGAGAAAATAGACTATATTGGAAGTTGAAGTCACCAACACCTCGAGGTCAAAGAAAATTCCATTTCTGGCTCTGAAAGAATATCACTGTGAGACGGAAACATCCGATATCCTAGATAGCGTTCCGGAAATGTTGTTTTGTTTATGTTGTATTTGCGTGAACTGGTGTGGTCCTAGACTATATGCTTTGGAAACATTTTTTTAAACATTTGGTTGTAACGTTTTGAAAAGTGTTTGCAAAATATTTAGCAATTTTGTTTTACGTGATTTTGTGTACTTCCAGAATGGTATGAGCAATATTCTCTCTCAATATTTGGTTTTAATGTTTTAAAATGGTTTTCAGTGGAAAGTGTTCCATGCTTCTGGAAACATTATATTATCGTGAATTTATACGGTTTCGGAAACGTTATGACAGAGGGTTGTCGGGTGGCGGGAGGGATGATCATGAAAGACATGACAGCGAAAGAGAAGAAGTGCTCGCAAAAATAACTTCGGAGGCGTCGTCGTTTTAAACTTTGTACTACTGACACTGTTCTACGTGTATTTTCACCAGTTTTGTGTAAAATGAGAGGGCGGTGGGGTAGCCTAGTGGTTGGTCGCTCCTCACGCAATTTGTTTTCAGATTCGATTTGCGCCCATCTACCATTTCTGGTGTCCCCACCGTGATATTAATGAATATTGCTAAAACAACGTAAAACCATCTCAGTCAATCAGAGTGTAAAATGACAGTGGGATGGTATGGTCCATGATTTTCAGGGCATTTTCAATATAGGCTATATAACGCAACGTAATCATATTTGAAAATGCCCTGAATAACATACCCTGTGAATATTTCACACACTGATTCTCAAATTCTGTCTTGATCAAACCCGTCATGATATTGCTGGTATATTGCTAAAAGCGGCGTGAAACCAAACTCACTCCCTCACTCACTCATTATATTGCAGCGTACTGGACAGTGAACACTATACAAACACCGTTATCCTAACCAACATCAACAGATACATGACAAGTAACAAGCACTCTGATTCGCTGAGCCATTTTAAGCGACCAATCAGATTCATTCAATCCACAGACTCGTCGCCGACAACACGTGCAGGTAAACGTTGCAGACCCTCACTGTCGAGGGTTTAACGGGGTTTTATGTATGGCATGAGTTGTAATCATGTTTACCAACAGCCACACACGTATATGTAAACTACAGTCTAGATGTTACTGAAAATCGTCCATGTTGTGGTTATAATACACTGACCTATATGTGTAGGTTGTAGCGCCCGATAATGGGTGACATATACATCGTGATATGACCTAGATAAGTAGGTGAGTGTGGTGGAAACACAGGTGACAGTCACTTCATAGTGTGTTGCTGACCTTGTCACACAAAATCAATTCACCCAGGTAGATAACCCCAAATAATCGGAAAAGGTCTCAGGTTTGTTTTATGTTTTTTTCAATAACGATTCTTTATAACATAGGCGGATCCAGAAATTTTCAAAGGAGGGGGTTCGAACCCCTTGAACCCCACCTTGGCTCCGCCATTGCAAAACATTAACTTCAATGTGGTCTTTAGTCATTTTCCGGGGGAGGGGTAGAATTTCTCCTCCTCTCCCACCCCCCCTCTCAAATCTCTGGATCCGCCACTGCTATAAGCAATTGGATACTGTGGATTAACATGTCGGCTATGAGATTTAAAAAAACCCAACAAGTTATTATTGTTTGCATGGTTGGTTCAATTCTAATGAGTTTATTACCTGACATAAAGGGGACCAACTGATAAGAACACTTTTTTCTGTTGAAGTCAGCAGTTTCAATATGAGTGACCCCGAGATCAAGCAGCTGACTGACCAGTTAAGTCTTATCCAGCATCCCGAGGGGGGAGCGTTCCGGGAGATGTGGAGAGGGGAAAGAATGGTCAATTTCACAGAGAAGACAGCGTAAGTTCATTGAAGTTATAGATTATATTAAAGTATAGATGGAGATAGTTGTCAGCACTGGCGGATCCAGGGTGGGGGTTCAGGGGGTTCGACACCACCACCACCACACATATTGGATAAATTGTGGGTAGAGATAGTTGTCAGGAGGAGTATTTTGTGTAAATTGTGGATGGAGATAGTTGTCAGGAAGCAGTATATTGTGTAAATTGTGGGTGGAGATAGTTGTCAGGAAGCATCATATTGTGTAAATTGTGGGTGGAGATAGTTGTCAGGAAGCAGCATATTGTAATAGAATATTGTGTAAATTGTGGGTGGAGATAGTTGTCAGGAAGCAGTATATTATGTAAATTGTGGGTGGAGATAGTTGTCAGGAAGCAGCATATTGTGTAAATTGTGGGTGGAGATAGTTGTCAGGAAGCAGTATATTGTGTATATTGTGGGTGGAGATAGTTGTCAGGAAGCAGTATATTGTGTAAATTGTGGGTGGAGATAGTTGTCAGGAAGCAGCATATTGTGTAAATTGTGGGTGGAGATAGTTGTCAGGAAGCAGTATATTGTGTAAATGGAGATAGTTGGGCATATTGTGTAAATTGTGGGTGGATAGTTGTCAGGAAGCAGTATATTTGTGTGGGTGGAGATAGTTGTCAGGAAGCAGCATAATTGTGGGTGGAGATATTGTCAGGAAGCAGTATATTGTGTAAATTGTGGGTGGAGAAGAGTCAGGAAGCAGCAATTGTAGAATTGTGGGTGGAATAGTTGTCAGGAAGAAGTGCAGTCATTGTGATGGTTGTCAGTTATTGTGTAAATTAATTGTGGGTGTAGCATTTGGTGCAGTACAAATGGTATCATCTGCAGTCATGACATGCTCGGCACCAGCATCTACTACATGCTGAAAGCCCCTAACATCGTCTCCTGGCACCAGGCGCTGTCGGACGAGTTCTTCTACTGGCATGCAGGGGGCACAGCCAAGGTGAGCTGCTGTGCTCACTCACATCGTTTACAGAAGTTTAGGAAAGTTAAATAAATTAGAAAGATTTCTTTTTAAATGGAACCGTCGCTTTGTGTAGAAAGTGTCAGGGTATACTTATATATAAATTCATTGAATTAGTGTTAATGATAAAATATGTATTTTCCAATTTACGTATATGACATGCCAGAATGTGAAATATTGTTTCAGTGAATCTGTACATTAAGTGTTTGAAATTTGTTAAAGCAGCATCCAGCTGTCTGCATGCAATCCAGTTGCTATTTTTAATAATTCTAAGCATATTTTGATATTATAAATTGAGCGTTAAAGCCTCTGCTTCTATATTGGTATGGTTATCCAGAGACCATATACCGGTATATGGTCTCTAGGTTATCAAACCTGCACATGTTTAGATCATGTTGAAATGAAGAGGGACATTTTTAATGGATTGCCGGGACAGAGAATATCAGCCTCTGAGCAAGTCCTTATGAAGCCCAGTATTTTCAGGTGTCAGCGTTGAGCTGACACCCTGCTGACACCCTGCTGACATGTTTGTTGAAGGTGCACTTCCTGGACAACAATGGCAAGCACAGTAATGTGCTTCTTGGCGATGCACTGAAGAACCCACAGTGTGCTTACCAGGTGCTTGTTCCCCATGAGACGTGGTATGCCTGTGAGCTGGTGGACCGAGAGTATGTCTTGTACAGTGCTGCTGTCATACCAGGTATGTCGTATCTCTGCTGGCCCTAGATAATGTCTTCTACAAGCTAGATAATCTCTCTCTCTCTCTCTCTCTCTCTCTCTCTCTCTCTCTCTCTCTCTCTCTCTCTCTCTCTCTCTCTCTCTCTCTCTCTCTCTCTCTCTCTCTCTCTCTCTCTCTCTCTCTCTCTCTCTCTCTCTCTATATATATATATATATATATACACAGTTTGCTTCTACATATCCGGCCATTGTTCCATTATCTTCAGGTTTCGAGTTCAAGGACTGGATCGAAGGGAAAAGGTCAGATATGATTAAACAGTTTCCACAACATGAAGACTTGATCACCCGTCTCACTAAATCCTGATTCAGCTGTTTCCGCAGTGTGAAGACTTGGTCGCCCAACTCACTAGCTAATTAACACTAACTTGATAGCTAGTTAGTACTAACAGCCGATTAAGAGATGACCAGACTATTGAACAACTAGGTTCAGTACACACTGCCGAAAGGCCTGTATTGTGTATGCTATGTATGTGTTCACTTCAGAACAATATGTGATTTTGAATATGATACATGTAACAGGACTTTTTATTAGGTCATATATTTTAGAATATATATGTATATGTGTGTCCTTATACTGTCATGTTTTATACTATAATATACATAAACTATTTTCAGAATAAACTATTACAGTTAATGTTATAGTTCATATCTGGGTGATATTAAATAATGACCTGATCATGTGTCATGTAAAGTGTTGGTTATTGAGATTATCAAGCTGCTTGTACCAGCCCCAACTAATGCTGGTTTTCAGTGCTGGGATACTGTGCAATAGTTAAACATGACCCGACTCTGACACTGGTTATCTTGGGGTAGCCTAATGGTTAAAGCGTCCGCTCGTCACGTTAAAGACCCGGGTTTGATTCCCTACATGGGCACGTTAAAGACCCGGTTGCTGGTATATTGCTAACATGGGCACAATGTGAACCCATTCACTCACTGGTTATCTCCCTTATGTCAAGCACCACACAAGGTAACAACAAATACCATCTTCTAACATCTTTCTGCTTGCCGGCCAGAGCTGAATACATCTCCAGCAACATGTACATTAGGACAGCTACATGGGGATTAGATGTCCACAATGACTTGTATATGTGGCAAGGAATCACTGTTGGCTGTTGCCAGCTAACCTGATCCATTGCTATAATGTTTTTGTGAAATGAGGCCAAAGCTGATAGTTTTGTCATAATATCGAAGATGATTAGATCGGTGCTCATGGTAACAACCACTAAATATTGACTAGCCAAGGATGCAACTTTTCTATTTATGTGACAAAGGCCTTGTTGAATTTTTGGCTTTTGTCAAGGGTACGTGATATTACTATTCAGGTAAGAATACGTTTCAGAATACCATGCTTAATGACTTCATCATATGTCTCAGAATACCTTGCTTAATCACTTCATCATATGTCTCAGTATACCATGCTTAATGACCTCATCATATGTCTCAGAATACCATGCTTAATCACTTCATCACATGTCTTAGAATACCATGCTTAATCACTTCATCACATGTCTTAGAATACCTTGCTTAATCACTTCATCATATGTCTCAGAATACCATGCTTAATCACTTCATCACATGTCTCAGAATACCATACTTAATCACTTCATCATATGTCTTAGAATACTGCTTAATCACTTCATCACATGTCTTAGAATACCATGCTTAATCACTTCATCATATGTCTCAGAATACCATGCTTAATCACTTCATCACATGTCTTAGAATACCATGCTTAATCACTTCATCACATGTCTTAGAATACCATGCTTAATCACTTCATCACATGTCACCATGCTTATCCTTGTAATCACTTCATCATATGTCTCAGAATACCATGTAATCACTTCATCACATGTCTTGAATACCAAATCACTTCATCATATGTCTCAGAATACCATGCTTAATCACTTCATCTGGACCAGTATATCATGCACATGAGCTTTATATCAGCATTGCATTAAGTTTTGAACCCATACTTCAATCATCCTGGGCTGTTCAATTATTGTGCATAATTCTGCCATGACAAAGTTTATCGATAGTAAAAAACAGGCACGCATACGAACGCACGCACACACACACACCTTGAAAATTCCTGGATCCGCCCATGATGCACCAGTATATCATGCACTAGTATATCAGCATTAATTGTGAAAAACATCTGTATGACATTTTGGTCACAAATTATCAGTGTTCTAAAATCTGAACTAATCTGACACCTTTTATAGTGTGTTGTATCCACTCGGGTTCTAAACTACAAATCATGAAACACAATGCATGTACAGTACAACCAGAAATTATTGAGAATTTAAGATTGTATTCTTTATTTATTTTTTCACTCATTACTCACGTATTAAATGTGAATATTAGCAGAACATAATTCAAAGACAGGTGAACAGTTAGTATTTTGTCAAGTCACCATGGGAAGCAATGCAGGCTTCAATGCGGTGGGGCATACATACTACTGATCAAAGAAGTTAGAAAGTCGTGGTCCATGCTGTCCCAATATCGGACCACCTCTTCTTTCATTTCAGCAATATTTGTCAGATTTTTCTTATTGACACTTTCCTTCATAAGTCCCCAAACATTTTCTATTTGGATTTAGGTAGGGCTATAGCTTTGCCAATTCTAATAATGTCATATTTTGGGTCCGAAACCAGGCATGTGAATGCTTTGAGCGATGTTTTGAACGATGTTTTGGAAAATCGTTGTCCATGCATGAGCAGATGGAAGTAAATGTCCCTCGAGAATATAAGTGTTTACGCTTACTGTTCCTATTCCCTTCAAGTACACAGATATGCCCCTAACCCACCCCAAACATTAAATTTTGGACTGTACTTTGGGTGCTGATACAAAGGTTTTCAGTTTGTTTGGTCCAGAATTTTTGTGTATTAGGAAACAGCCACACAGAACTTTCATCTGAGAAAATCACATTGTCCCAGTTAAAATTTCTATGCTGTAAGCACCAGTTCAACCTTTCGCTCCTTTTGTTCAGGTTTCATGATCGGTGATGGAATTCCTCAAACTTTTCTGCCAACCCATTGCATGCAGCTCAGTTCTAATTGTCTCCTTACAGACAGCCACAGTTCCTCTATCAATCATATTCAGCCTTAAGTTTTCTTAACTCCTTCGTTTGTTTTAGAAACAAGAATACCAAGCAGCCTCCTGTCACCGACAGTCAATTTTCTGGGCCTACCTGCGCCTCCCCTGGTGCTCAATGCCATATCCATTTGCAATATTTTTCAAAACACGATAAACAGTGGACAAAGGGATGCCTGTTCTACTTGAAATCATTTTAGCTGATCTGTTGTCCTTGTTATAATACTCTAAAATCATCTTCCTCTTCTCTAAATCATCCATACTGAGGATCACGGAAAATGTCGTCTGCTAGCAAGTAAACAAAGGGGGATAACTCTTCACAAACTAATGAAAAAAGGATTAACAGAGTTGTCTCTCTTGAATGAAACCAAGCACTTGATAGCTGGTCAAGGTTGTTTATACTAGAAATCCAATTAAACATATTCCTAAAATTCTCAATAATTTCTGGTCATACTATATAAAACCAACAAGGGATGAAGATGAAATATATACAGATTTATTCATAAACAGCTCTAGATTCACTACAACAAATATTCTCTGTACATCTGTAAAGCAGCCTTATGTATATAACCACGGCAGTCACAACTACCTGGAATACAACTAACAAGTATATCAAAACCAGTAAATGAGACAGTGTTCACCTGTGCCCAATCACAGTAAAACAGCTTTAAAAAAGTCAATATTTTAGTGCCGGGAACATGCCTGTCTGGACAAAAGACTGATGTAAAATAAAGTATTTCTAAAAATATCACAGTTCACGATAACACTACCTCAGAGGATGCCCGACAGTTTTGCAGATACTGGGGAAAGGTTCACTTGTTGTATTTGTATGGAAATGAGAGAATGATCACAATGGTTACATTAGGTATGGTGGAACATATCATACAGATACACCCAGCTTAATTTATATTCCTAAAGAGTGTTTCCCCTATACAAGTGTATAAACAGGATGGCTATTGTTCACGACTAGCGTTGTCCGCGACACTGCAGACTTGAGGCCATGTGAGACAGATAAAGTTTACCCGCTGCTGACAGAGTGGTGTATGAATGAACGTACAGATGAAGGTATGTACAGATGACGGCCACACAATCGGCCTGGAAATGTGTCTGTGTCTGAAAATATTCTACCAAAAATACTGTAGATGCAAATATCAAATACCTGATGATGACCACCTAGACAAGGAATCCTTGGTAGACACAAACATGTTCTTCATGAAACTCTAACAATGCCTCAATATCTTTGTGTAACTCTAACAATGTCTCATTGAAACTGTATTGTAGTGTAAAGTGTAACAGCGTCTTTTTGTGAAAGTGCAAGATTAACATTCAAACCTGTCAGAGGTTATACATTTCCAAACTGTTTATCTGTTAGAAAACCTACCCCTGACATAAAATATAACAGTTGCAGACATGTTGAATCGAAAACGAAACATCAACATGTCCTTGTATCACCATGAAAACAGATGAAGATACCGTAAAATACCACTGAGTTAAACCACACTTATATACCTGGAAATGTTATACAACTTCTTATAAAATCCTTCATGTACTGACATACAAGCAATGCTTAAGTGTGAAAGCACAGACACATCTTGAAACACATAATGAAAATAAATAGTACACAGAACTCAACAAACAATCCCATGGACATGTAATATCTGGCGCCACAAAGAATACTGATGGGCAAATATGAAACATCACAGGTAACTGACTCGGTCCATGCTATCACAAAATATAGACGTTTTAGGACTTGGCGGTTTCGTATACACCATGTCCCAGGTTTCCCTCCCTGGAAATTCCATCATGTTCGAAGTGAGTGAACGCTTCCCCTCGGTCACGTGCAGAGCGGAATGTCTGGAGATGGGGACGAGCCTGGAACACAGAACATCAAGTCTGGCTACACACATTGATCCTGAGGGGAGGTCCATCCCATCACACATTTTATGAGCACACAAAGCAGTCACTGTATAAAAATGCAGGGGACTGAATACTCGACGCATGTCAAACCAGTGACCTAGTTTTGCCTAACAAATGGTACGTGCAGTTTCATACTTTAAATACATTTGCCATTGTATTCCTACAACCTGTATCCACACCTTATAGGGTGCTGTATGCTAGACGGGTATTATATTGTAGAATGGGGCTTGTATGGGGTGCTGTGGTGGGTTGTTGTCCGAGAGGGGACACAAACGTCAGTATCGGAGTCTTGGTGTCAGGGAAGGGGGGCAGTGTACTTCTCCATATTGACACTGGAGCATATTCTTACAGCTAACAATATTCTTCAATATAATGTAAAGCCCATGATATGTGTTCTTACATTCCTGGTGAACCTGGGCATCTGCCAGAGTGGGGCTGGGTCCACGGGGTTCTGGTACGTCTTCAGGAGGGAGGCTCTGGTGCTGTATACTGCTCTGGAGTGTTGTTTCTACAGACAGAACAGTTTAGGGAATTAGTATAACATTATCATAACCATTGCATGATACTTTCAAAACCTGAATAATTAGCTTTCATCATAAACCACAAACTAAACTCATTGTATGATTCATGGAAGCGACAACAAAATTACATGTTACCTTACTTTAGAACATTAGATTCTTACTGTTTGATAAGCTGCCAGATATTTTCCACACTGAGAAATCAATCGTACTATGTCTTAGGTAACTTGCTTATGTCTGTAAGTGTCAGTGAGTTGCTGTTTAATGACCCAACATTTATCCTAATGCACTGAGTGAAGAGGCCTAACTTGATTCATTTAATCATCTGCTAGCTGTCCAAGTGTCTACATAAAAGTGTATGATATTGACAGCTTTTCGAAGCCTCGCTTAGAGCTAAGATAGTCGTAACTTACGACTATCTTAGCCCTATGAGAGCTTCGAAAATCTACCGGTAGGCCCAGAATGCTTGTTACAAACTGGCAGACACTTGCTGACCAACCACTTGCTGTGTATTTGGTCAAAATGTGTACAATGAACTACATAAATGAACAGTTATAAATAAAATTAGAGGTCACTTTGAGTTATACCCATATTTTACTGTATTACTGGATCTATATGAATGACTGTCCTTATACAGTGTCCATAATTTACTGTTAAAGTAGGGACACAATTCAAGTGAGTCAACACGACCTCATTAAGGATGGTGCACCATCGACAGAGAAACAACAAGTAACTGCACACACTCACTTCCTTTAACAATCTCGTCGTCTCTAACAAATCTAACATTGTTATAACTGAGGATTACAGGTATAAGCTGTGACGAGTTAACATGTTAGTCTCGTCGTCTCTAACAAATCTAACATTGTTATAACTGAGGATTACAGGTATAAGCTATGACAAGTTAACATGTTAGTCTAAACTAATATAAGTATCATGAATGTTTTCATTTTTAGTGTAACTATGGTTATGAATTAGGAAAAATATGGTTCAGCAGGTTTTGACAGAAAAAACAAGCACTATGAAGCAGAATGTGATGCCTAAAACTATCTGAAATAGTAATATAAAACAATGATGACAAGTCGGACATCTCACATCTGACTAACATATTCATGCAAATGTCAGTTTCATGTACTAAGTATCATTTTATTCTTTCAATGGAATTTGTTAAGTCAAAGCAAATAAGACCTAAAACAACCTGTTGTTATGGCTGCTACACAAATAATTCAGCTGATAAGCCCATCATCAGTATATTTCTGAGAGTTATATAAGGGAGTTATGGTGCCATGGGAATAATATCCAAAAGTTTGCTTCTTATGATTTCTACAGACATTTGTCTTTTGATCACAAAGACAATGAAACCCTGGATGCAATCTGGGAAAGTTATGGCCAAAGATAATGACCCATCTGAAAATCAGATCTATGTGAGACAAGAGTCCTCCTTACAGAGAAAGACATTTGTCTGCGAGAGTTACCAATATCTAGGAAGGGTTGAGTGAGGAAGGGGATAACATGATTGTGACAAGGAAGGGAGACAACTCAAGTGCACAATAATTCATTTTCAAAAGTAAGATGTATCTGGCTACTCTGCAAAGAAGTATTTCTAGTTTGTCTGGGCAGTCCTACAGAGTGGCCACAGTTGTGTTTCGTAGTGACCAAAGGAAGCTTTATACCACTATACACAATTGTCTACAGTGAGGGACTACTGACTAGAATGCTACATTATTTAAAGCAGGCTGTAACCATACTCAGGCTGATGGTACAATTGTTAACTTTGCAACAAAGTGTGTTTCGAAATATGTATATTTGATAAGCACTGAAGCATAACTGATAGCAGACTGTAAGGTATTTTATATGATCTAACTATGACATGTGCAGAGAGAGAACCATGTACAGCTAAAACATGTACTACTCTGGCCTGAGGGATGTAAGCTATAGATTTAAGAAAACTTACACGTAAAGGTGGGGCAGTGTGGCTTCTCCTCTGATAAAACCAATGGTTTATTGTTGATGTGGAAATACTGATAATATGTCAGAATGACAGTGCTCTTGACAAGTGTAAACAATGTTTTAAACAATTGCATCAAATAAAAGATTTAAGCTTATTTATTTCAGCAATAGCATATTCACTGTCCTACAAGATACACATACACATAGGATCTCCCAACACCTGGCCGGCAATAGGGGCTGTAGTGTATTTATTGTCCCACGGGTGAACACACACATGCATAAGATTCTTTGTGGTGCTAGGGTTCCACGTTGCAATATGGAGATGTAGCATATCCCACAGATCAAGACGCATACACATAGGACCTATGTCACACCAGGTCGACAATAAGAGAAATACAGGGCTATTGTGTGTTCACTGTCCTACAGGTCAAGACACACACACACAGAGGACCTCAACAAATACACCAAGCCACAGGACCTGTATTGTATTCAATGTCCCTACAGATCAAGACACACACACAGGATCTCCCCCACAGCAGGTCACTTGTAGCTCACCTTAGTGTCCTCCTGCTTCTTGGCTAGCTCCTGCTGTCGGCGCTGTTGCTGCCACCGATCCTGGTACTTGTGCTCTAACAGGTCGAAGATAGGTGTTGATGGTCTGAAGGGGATAAAATGGGGTAGCGAGTTCAATTTAAGGATGTATTAAGTATATAGTTCACATGACAATAAGACACACATCAGTCAGGACAGAAAGTGAGTGAGTATGGATTTTCGTCGCTTATATCAATATTCCAGCAATATCACGCCAGAGGACACCAGAAATGGGCTCCACACATTGTACCCATGTGGGGAATCGAACCCGGGTCTTCTGCATGACGAGCAAAGGCTTTAACTACTAGGCTTCCCCACTGTACCATATTATTAGGAAGAGAGAAAGAGGCTAGATTAACTACATTGAGATCAGAATTCAGTTATACCAGCTTAGTACTGGAGTAAACAATGCCTTGTAGATAAAATAGTACTAGAAGCTGTACTTAACTGAGAAAGTGTAATCCCAAATAAAACATATGTTAATACTGGAGGGCAGTGTTTAGCAGTGTTCAACCTCTCGGGTTCCTGGAATAGTTATATAGGTTTGATCCTCCAGTGTATAGGAACCACTAAGTTTTCAACATTCCAGTTAAGATCATGATAAGGACTTCTTTGTTTTCATGCATAACACTGGACACTGCACAAGTATGGGTATGGTTCCATTAGTTTTATTTGAACCCACAAACATAAGATCCTGGGCCCCTATTCTCGAAAATATCCCAGCTAAGACAGATCCTAAGTAGTTAAGACAGAAGTTGGGACATCCTACCGTTAGGATAAGACCCATTCTCGAAACGATCCTATCCCTGTCCTAACTTGAGCTACCGATCCCAGCTAGGATAGCGAGCTCTTCAGTAGGTGAGATAGAAAAACCCTCATTAAGTTGGGTATTCCCCTAAATATTACCCATGATTCATTTAATAAAAAACACATAATATGAGCAAATTCAGCATTTGATGGACTTAGTAGATCTAGAAGAAATTATTCGATATTTTCATCACATTATATAGTAGTTTTGAAGTCTTTGAAAATTCATTTTTTGACAAGGCGATAACATTTGTTACTTCAGAGTTTGAAAGTCTGACAAAAAAACAATAAGGATATTAAAGATATGTGCAAAAATATGTTCATTATATTTGTTTTTTTATGAAAATCATCATTTGAACTCTCATTATGCATCATCTCACAAACTGAAAAAATCACCTAGGAAATAAACAGGAGTTACTTCCCCTATCAAGTTGGCCTTGACATTGACATTTCATGGCAATGTGACTGAAAAGAGCAATGTCGTGATTAAAAAGGCCGAGAATAGGTAAGAATTGAACAAATCTCTTTTGTAGATCTAAAGAATATGTGCATCGCAACAAGCGTGTCTATTCATTACTGATAAATTGACAATATAAACTCAAAAAACTCTTCGAATCACATCAAAACTGTGTGCTGTTGAAAATTCATATGTAATTTAGGCGAGTTATTTTGTTTGACAACGTCAAAATTGGTGAACAAACAAGAACCACACTATGTTGACTTCCATTAAGATAGACTTAGGACAAGTTAGAACCTATCCTAGTATTTGTCATAAGTTAGGATATCCTAGCGCTAGGATACTTTTCGAGAATAAGGTAAGACACCTATCCTTGACCTTAGGATCAAAGTTAGGATATCCTTGGGCTAGGATCCTTTCAAGAATAGGGGCCCTGGCATGACTAAGAGAGACAACTCTGTTGAGATGGCACCTTGTTACAGAAACCCTCTGGATGTCATTAAACCCCATCTACCTTGTAGAGATGCCGAACACCATGGTTGGGGGAATTCGCCGGACTCGTGTCCTCTTTTTCTCCTCTCCTGATGCACGCCTTCTCACATCATGAGTAGCACGGAACTCGTAGTGCTCCGGTGCTGTGACTAGCCCTGCCTGTACTGCAGCTCGGTTCAAGGACATGAAGTCTCTCTCTGCCTTCTTCTCCTGGTGGTGGAAGGGCAAGGATGAGGTGGTGCCGCTCCATCCACGCAGAGCTGTTGCCATAGAAACAGGTCATGCTACATTTTAGAATGTCAAGAAACATAGTCACTTCATTACCTGTAAGGGCAGAAATCAAGTGAAGATATCCACTACCTGCACACAAAAAGCAAACAAGCATATCTTCATAATTATCAAACTTGATTTCATATTTATTTGTTATTTTCTGCTCCTTACATTTAGGATTCTTAACCTGAAAACAGTTCTTTGGGAGATAGATTAGGAGGAGGAGGCCCCATCATTTGTTCAACACTGCAGAAATTCTTGCATGAGTTATTTGTCCAGAAATTCTTGCATGAGTTATTTGTCCTTATACTAGAAGAAAGGGACATATAAGATCCCTGAATCCCTGTGTCTCACCATCGCCAGCACTGTTGTCACGTTTTTCATTAGGCCTGCCAAAGGTGAAACCATCAGCAGAGAGGTAGCCACGCCTCTTGGGTCTGCCGAGCTGATCCTGGGAAGAAAACATAAATCATTAGCTTAAAAAAATATATTAAAAATTGGTTGTTCAGAGTATTTCTTTAAAACAAACTCCTACAATTCATGTGATGTATTGTCAGACTGGAAAAATTTGTTCATAATCTCTACATTAGTAATGAATACAATCAATTATATAGCCCAAACCAAAAATCACAGATTACAGAATTCATTCAATAGGAGCATGACATGTTTCTAAAATTTGGAAGCATTTCTTTTGAATAATATCATACACACACAAGAATATCAAATGAGCATAGAGAACATCGGTCCTTCAAGAGTTTTTGTGTCCATATATACATCTTGACTATACATGGGCTGGTCCAAAGACAGACACTAGTAAAATTCTGTTGATTCAAGCATTCTCTGTAACATCAGGTCATTTGATATCACCCAAAAATCTACTGAACACAAAGCCACCTGCAAACTTTGGTTACTAATCATATATATACATGTATACAAATAAGACATACACACTCCCCATCCTCAGTTACCTATTATTAATTATAATGAACAAAAATATTATAGTTATAGTATAATGAGTCATTCTTATTAGATCCATGATAACACACTTGACCCTGTGAGTTTTAGAACCTGTTTACCACAATATAGCATGAAAAGAAATTAGGTATATACCAAGAAAAACGTATCTAACCAAAGAAATACATGTTTTCAAGCGCCAAGACTAGCTGTCTGTAGACTAGTCCAGCATATAACTAGACGACTTTGCACTATACCAAGTTGTGCTTGGCTGGAATACGAGTTTATTCATATGAACAGTGAACTATCTGTAGACTTGTGTTTAGGACCAGTACCCTGGACCCTTTAATAAAAATAAGATGCTTTACACATTCACTATGATGGTTTTTCTGTGGATGATATGCGAATAAACTTTGTTTTGGAAGTTAATTACTGACTTCGACATTTAATCTATGAGTTCTTTAGACAGCCGTAGAACTATAACCTTGTCAAACGGGACTTTGGAGCAATTCCCAAGAATTTTAATGCCTTGGGGCTATAAGTTATAACCGTTAGGTGAACAGCACAGTTTATTTTCGCAACATCATGGGAGGCAGGTTTGTGTATCCTTTCCCAAAACGTGTTACAATGGATTCATTATTCCGATACATTCAACATAAATAGCAAGATCGATTAGCGAATCAACAAGCCAAACATGGCACTGTGTGGTTGCTACGTAAAACTTACCCTCAGCAGAAGCTCGTTATTTAGCATGGTATCTCGCTGACAGCCCAGGTCACCTGTCGCCGTGTAGGTGAAGGGGGTTTCGAAGGACGCTGCCATAGTTCTGAGAATGAAAGGCGACTATGTGAAATGCGGGTATCCTCCTGAATGTCGCCGAGATGGCCGTATCTGCGATAAACCTACTTGTGTGTAAATAATGGCGTCCGTAACTATGGTTGCAACCTCTGACCCATAACAACATTCACCTAGCGGAGCAATATATTCAAGGGGCGCAACCCCGTCGTTGCAGCCCATAAACAGCCGTGGATAGCAATTTCAAAATCGTCACATAAACTTTACAAACGTATGTAAAACATTAACCACTCCAAATGTCAGATATCTGTTGTTCTGTTAAATACTTTCTACTTGATATAGTCAACCACCAGTGTGAATTTCGATTGTTGTATTTGTTTCTGTTGTCGTTTTATGACGAGATAATTCCGTACCTTAAAGGGAATAGCTGACATTTTTGTTAAAAATGCATTAAGGTACATTATCAACGTCGTCCAGTATTTTCTCAACTAGCTGGATTCCTCACGTTCACCGAATTTAGTCTCTAAATATGCACAGTGTAACCAGGCCGGTGGGATAGCCTTGTGGTTAAAGCATTTGCTCGTCATGCAGAAGACCCAGGTTTGATTCCCCACGTGGGTACAAAGTGTGAAGCCCGTTTCTGGTGTCCACCGCGGTGATATTGCTGGAACTTTGCTAAAAGCGGCGTAAAACCATACTCACTCACAGAGTAAACTCTACTATTCCTAATACCAAGGATGGAGGCGGCACAGCACAGGTTAATGAATCAATAACTTTGTCGGCACTTGTAACACTTGGCTGTCCCTTTCTCTGCACTCCTCCCTCGTAACAAATAGTGAACTGTGTCAATATTTTAATAATAGTTTGTTAAACAACTTTTTTAATTTTAGGACATAAATTCTGCAAACAAATCACAGTTGGTCTGATGTTTTGATTATGATCAGCGTTTCATTGAGTATTATATGTTTATTAGTTTTCGAGTTAGATTGCAATTCATCGGACCGCTTTTGAGCCAAACGCACTATAGTCTGTATAAAGATTGTTATCATAAAGGCCGTGAGATAAAGCATCTTCCGGACAGGTAGGTATTACCACTGTCTGCTAAGTGCTTTTCCTTCTAGTGAACCTCCGAGGAAGGTTAGAGAGACTAGGTCGACCGACAATGAAATCATTAAAAGCCGCATTTCTTTCTTACCTAAACTTGATCCATGAACCTTAGACAGAATGAGTAAAGTTCCAAGTATCCATGTTTCACAAATCCCTGAATGGACGCAATGTTCATTCAAAACAACGCATTATATTTTAATCACAACCTGAGGATCCCTCCCATCCTTCATGTCTATGTGGCAGTGGTTGTGAGATAGTGTTGGTATTATGGCACATTGGGTTTTAAGATTAAGTGGAGGGCAGTGGTATCTGTATTTACACTCGGAGTTATGAATAATCGGGAAGCTTCTTTTCAGCCGGAATAATCCAGGAAAGTATAGAAATATCTGACAGCTGTTTCATTGTCAAAGTCTTTGAACGGCATTTAGAAGTGATACACACAACGGCAATGAATTTATGGATGTCAACGTCTTTATTTTGATGAACACAACGTAACATTTGTTATTTTTGGGATTACACTTTCTTTGTACTGATTCTAGTACTTTTGTTGGGTTGAGTCCCATCCATCCTTAGAATCTGGCACCTAATCGCCAGCACACAAACTCAGCCGCCTAACCCGCTCAGCCACCGAGGCTTCCACTACTAAGAAAGTGTAATCATACGAGTTGTTTTTTTTAGTTTTACGCCGCTTTTAGCAATATTCCAGCAACATCACGGCGGGGGACACCAGAAATTGGCTTCACACATTGTGCCCATGTGGGGATTCGAACCCGGGTCTTCGGCGTGACGAGCCAACGCTTTAACCATTAGGCTACCCCACCGCCCCCCAAAAAACTATAACCGTAGCGGCTAGTTCGAATTATTGACTGCTCCTTTGTGTCATCTGGTTCAATATTATGGTCGGTGTGGGTTTTTATCGGACGTCATCACTTGACTGCAGAAAATGTTGCTCTTTAACGAAGAAAAGACTCAATTTCAAGTTTCAATCAAAGGTTTACTTCTCAATTTTCACGTCTCCTCCCGACTCAAGCGGATTGTTAACGAGTTTTGGGGGGAGCAGAATTTGTACAATATTCGAAATTTCATTCCGGCCTATAGTATTTTGTCATTGATGGAAGAGGACGACACCACTTTCTCTTACAACAGAGACAAGAGAACACTAGTAATCAAGGGAAGATCATATTCGATTGAACCTCTCCTTAACTTGGAGGAAGTCAAAGAATTGGGTAGCTTCATAATAGGAGCCGAAGCTGATTTGGAGAAGCATCATTTTCGGAACACCTTCAAACATTTATGTTGAAATGTAAGTATTACAACTTAACATATATATATTAACAGCAAATGCTGATTTTTCCTGTAATGAAATATCTAGCCTTGCTCCAAGGCTGTACTGAATGCTAGGCCCGTTGGTGTATAGTAATTCTATCCTTTAAAGAGACAAGTCTAGATCAGTGAGTGAGTTAAAATTTAACGTCACATCGACATTATTGCAGCCATATCGTGACTCTAGATCAGAGGACAGTACAAAGTTCCTCGATATCTTAGAGGAATGTTTATATTTTATAGAATTATCATTTAAACTGTTTATTATCACCTTATAGACTTGTGCAAGTCTATGAAACATCTTGATAAGGGGGTTTTCTAGCGTAGAGAATGAGAATTCATGTGGTAAACAATCATTTTGACTGTATGGGGTTAATGCATGTCGACGTGTAGGTTATTGTAACAGATATACCTATCCACCTATCATCGAGGGGGTCATTTGAGGTTTACATTGTTTGCTTTGTCTTGCAAGCATGTTATTAATGAAACTAGGTATGGAGGTCATATACATTAAATTACGTGACAAACTTGATGTTAGACAGGATTGAATTTTACAGAAAGTATTACAATGTAAACATATATTCCTAACCCTTATATAATGTGTGTTACAAAGTTATCTCTCTAGATTAGAAGACCGCCTCCGTGGTGTAGTGGTTAGAGCGTTACGGAGAGCGGAAGGTCGCGGGTTTGATCCCCGACCGCGTCATACCAAAAGACGTTAAAATATGGTACTTGTTGGTCCCTGCCTGGCGCTCGGCATTAATGGGTACAACAAGGACTGGTCGGCTCGGAGTCAGTATAATGTGTCTGAGTGGGGTATTCATGCTTCACTGCGGCATAGTATCTCAGTGGGCTAGCACTATAAAACCAGCTTCAGTCTGGGCTAGTACAAGCAGCCGCACATACACGTACACACGCATGCACGTCGTCATATGAGCGAAGTGTTCTCCAGCACGACGTTAAACCCAATTTCACCTCACCTCACCTCTAGATTAGAAAATTGAATGGCGGTGACAGTAAAAGGTTGGACAAAGTTCAAAGAGATTTTCAGATCAAAGGGTCACCGTCACTAGCTCTTACACGTGCATCACGAAAATATGTAGTTACTTCATTCAAACCACTCGCTCAATCAGTGTAACTCAATCAGTTTAGTTGCATCTCCGACATGAAGTGGTTTACACTGACCTTACTCCTAGCGACGGGATATCTAAAGTTCGGATTGTCATCACCAGCCACCCACTGCAACGTAAGGGGTGGAGTGATGAAATGTCCCCAAGGGGGGTGGGACCTACACTCACCTTAAGGGTGGAATATAGTCCGTAAATATGATTTTCCTTAAAGGACTGAGGAATCGTATGGAGATAAATATAACATTGTTTCCCAAGCTGAAAGTAAGTTAATTATCATGTAACATGTGAGAACATTCTGTAAGTAATGAAAAATTAATACATAAAATACGTGTGAGTTATCCAAAGTAAATTGCAATGTGGGAATCATAAGGTTGAATTATAGAATAAGTTCTTTTATATCGACACTAAACTGTACTCCCGACAAAAGGTAGTAGATTTATGATCATTTACACAGCCTCTAATCCAACATCCTTCTACTCCTTACTTCGACACAACAAAGACCGCCCCAACTGACTGTTTCTATTGTAAATTAAGCTCTCCAAACCAGCATCCGGTAGCTTGACCCGTCCGTTGATTGATTGCATGTGTGTTAACAACATAGTGGATTACTATCGACATTGAAAACCTTGATGTCACTTCATACACCATTTCCACGATGAAAAAAGTGGAAGCTCTCCAAACCAACACAACCTCTATACCGACATATTTTTTTTGTTCTTAATGAATGCTGAAATATTTATCTCATTAGTTAAAGAGAGATGATTTAAGACTTTAACGCACTGCTTAATTTTTATTTCTTTTGTTGGTGAATGAACAGAGTATAAATTTGTAACTGCCTTTTATGATGTACAATTGTGACTTAATATGTACTCAAGGCTATACATCATTCACGAATTTCAGCAAATTCGAGGAAAGGGGAGCACGCTGCAGTGACAGACTCTGACTTTCATCCTTTTGAAACGATATCTGGCAGGTCTATGTAAGCTGTAGGCATCTTGGTCACTGACAAACATTTTTACACGACGCAGTGACGTCTTTGATTCACCCTTATCTCGTAACACACGACAGAGTTTCGAGGGCCCATAATAGGCACCTGGTCTCTGCGGGTCAAAATAATAATCTTCAAAAGCTGTGTCAGAAGCCACAGTGTTACTCTTCTGAGAACTCATGATGGAATGAGAGAAGCGTAAGATAAGACAACAAAATAAAATGAAAACATAATGACCAAATAAAAAAGGAATAAATAACATAGTATTTATTATTCTCTTCGTGGGATCAAGAAATACAAAACAATCATCCTGGTCTGATGTCACAATATGATTGTCAGAAAGGTTAATACAAATAACCAAAATAGGTCGTCACCTCGTTATGATCATTATTCAGTCCCTCCCACAATAAGTAGGTCAACCAAGGGTAGAACATACAACTTGAACAACTGCCAAGATCTTTTCATTTGTTTTTACATTCTTTTATCCAACTTTAACATTTTCTCCAGACGTTCTTTCATCCTTTCAATCCATTGAGGTGTCTTAAATTGAGAGTAACGATATTCCCCGCATTGATACGGAACTAAGTTGACTTCCTTCACATCTCGCAGA